AACGAATTGAGAAAGAGGTTAGAAAACCCCCCGATTCTTTCTCACTTTGATGAGACAGCCGACACGGAAATACACACAGATGCCAGTAACATCGGCCTTGGATGCGTTCTAATACAGTGGCAGAAAGGTGAAGAAAAAGTGATAGCTTATGCCAGTCGGACTCTAACAAAAGCAGAGACAAACTATTCGGCCACGGAAAAAGAATGCCTTGCCGTCGTCTGGGCCATCAGTAAATTTCGGCCGTACCTATATGGTAGACCATTCAAGGCAGTCAGCGATCACCATGCGCTTTGCTGGCTGGCGAACATAAAGGAACCATCTGGACGACTAGCAAGGTGGAGCCTCAGACTGCAAGAATACGATATAACCGTCGTATACCGATCTGGCAAAAAACATACCGATGCCGACTGTTTGTCACGGGCTCCTACAGACACACCACTATCAGAAGAAGACGACTTTCCGTTCGTAGGAATTGTCGAGACCACTCAAATAGCCGAACTCCAACGTACAGACAAAGAATTACTCCCGCTTATCGAACACCTGCAAGGAATTGACGTACAAGTACCCCGTATATTTTCTCGAAGCCTCGCATTGTTCTGCCTCCGAGGAAACGTTCTCTACAAGAGAAACTTCAAGCCCAACCGCGAAAAGTTCCTGCTTGTCGTTCCAGCAACTATGCGACAAGAAATACTTCGAGCGTGTCACGATGAGCCCACATCTGGACATTTGGGTGTGACGCGAACGCTTGCAAGGATCAGTCTCCATTATTATTGGCCCAAGCTACTAGCTTCAGTGCAACACTACGTCAAAACATGCCGCGAGTGCCAAAGACGAAAAACACCACGTTCTAAACCAGCGGGCCTTCTACAACCTATAGATCCACCGAAAGCGCCTTTCCGCCAAGTTGGAATGGACCTCCTTGGACCCTTCCCGACATCTTTACTCGGCAAGAAATGGATCGTTGTGGCCACTGATTATTTAACTAGATACGCCGAAACAGACTCTTTGGAACGAGGAACGGCAGCAGAAGTGGCCCAATTCTTCGTACACAAAATAGTCCTGCGACATGGCGCTCCAACGGTTGTAATCACCGATCGCGGAACGGCTTTCACGGCGCAACTTTTGAAGTGCCTGCTCAACATGACTCACACTGTTCATAGGAAAACCACTGCATATCATCCTCAATGCAATGGCCTGACCGAACGCCTTAACAGAACTTTAGCGGACATGATATCCATGTATGTGGATGTCGAGCACAAAAAGTGGGACGAAATTTTACCATACGTCACTTTCGCCTACAATACGGCTGTGCAAGAGACCACCAAAATCACCCCATTTGAACTAGTTTACGGTCGTGCTGTTACCACAACACTGGATGCTATGTTACCAATAGACCAAGATGACTACCCCCCCGATCTTGACGACTTTCTACAAAGAGCGGAAGAAGCCCGCCAGTTAGCAAGATACCGAATACGCCACCAACACCGCATCGATGCCGACCGCTACAACCGAGGAAGACTTGACACGCGATATGACGTTGGCGACAAAGTGTGGATATGGACTCCAGTACGACGACGAGGCCTCTCCGAAAAACTCATTTCACGGTATTTTGGCCCCTACGAGATCGTACAGCGACACAATGACCTCGTCTACGAAGTCAAGCCTGCAGGCCACCTGCATTCGAGGCGACGCAATCCCACGGAGCGTGTACACATTGTACGGATGAAACCGTACTACGACCGATTCCAAACCTAGCCACCCCAATACCTTGACGTACTGCAACCTCATTTTTACAAACTTGCACACACAAAAAAAAAAAAAAAAAAAACAGCCTCATCGCAAGCATCGGGGCGATGCCGCTTGAGAGGGGGGATAATGCCACGAGGAATTGTTAAGGCGCAGTACAACGCAGACGTTGTTAAAAGAGGAACGCTGACGGCATCGCTACGACTCATGAAGCCCGCCGGAAGGCACGAGCCGGCCCAGCCTGTGCACGAGCTGCTACCGAGCAGCGGAAAAAGAAGAGAAGAAGAGGACGACGAGCGTTCGCTGCTTTCTCCCAGCTACTGTGTAGTTCTTTTGGCTTTGGGCACAAGTTCGCCCTTATTAAACCTTGTAAATAGGACGTCCCGGTTGTGAGGTTGTTATATCCGTTACAATATATATATATATATATATATGACTCGGTAAACATAGGTGAGCTTGAATTCGTAATGACAATCAAAGAAAATTAAGGCAATTTCAATTGTGAAAAATATTATTCGGTAACTGAGAAAGAATGCCTAGCGATTATCTGGGCCATTACAAAATTTCGGCCTTATCTGTACGGCCGCCCTTTCGATGTTGTTACCGACCACCACGCGCTCTGCTGGTTATCCTCCCTCAAAGATCCCTCAGGACGCTTGGCACGATGGGCTTTACGGCTCCAAGAGTACGACATCCGCGTCATTTATCGCTCAGGCCAGAAGCACGCCGATGCCGACGCTCTTTCGCGTTCGCCTGTTTCTACTGATATTGCGAGTGTCTCCATCCAAGACAACTTCCTTCCACTATCAGGACCCATCAACATGGCTGCGGAGCAGCGCAAAGATTCGTGGATTGCGTCTCTGATGGATTACCTATCTGAAACACTCGCCCACCCGCCATCTCGAGCGCTACACCGACAAGCCTCTCACTTCGCCATCCGTGATGGAATACTTTATCGCCGCAACTACCACCCTGACGGTCGCAAATGGCTACTCGTCATACCCAGCACCTCCACCAATTATAATATAGAACGGAGACAGTCAAAACTGTTATCCGAGACCAGGTAGGAGCGTAGGCCTAGCTATCAAAATCAGCGACAGTCCGGGCCGAGCATCTCGTGCTTAGCACTGACAATGTGTGTGCCGAGATTTGCATGACCCACTACAATCATCATTACAATATCAATAACAATGATCTTGATAAAGGCCATGTACAATTACAAGACAGCTTATATCGGGATTGGAAGACATACTATTTATTGCATATGTATCACATACCTTGCAGAAGGGGCAGTACAAATTTTCAATTGCATAGCTATTTTGATAAACATGATATGTGCAGTCATTTCATAACTGAACTTTACTAACCATCATAAAGTAAGAAATACTGTAGAATACCACCCAGATTTGTTTCCATAAATACATGATCTTTGGGGTGTATCATCAGTTAAATGTTATTAAAATGGAAAAAGCTTGACTGTGACTTTTAATATGTTACAAGGCATACATAGTATATAAAAAAAACAAGAACGAGTAGTAGCATCTTTAGGCACTAGCATAAATTCACAAAGCAAGATCATAATAAATGTAGAGACTAAGATAAAACATGCTGAATACATCAAGAGAAAGAAATAGACATACCATGATGGGATTACAAGAAGGTGACGCAATTAACTTTGACAAACAACAACGAAGAAAAAAATTAAAAAAGTACAATCAATTGTTACAAGTTTTAAAAGTACATTTTATGCTACCATGAACACAGAACCCTTTGGTCTTGATCTTGATATCTTGATATTTCATTAATATGTATTCTAGATTTTGTTGAATGACTGCATTATATTTAATCAGTTTCCCGTATGGTCTGTTATCTCTTCCTGTGCCACACACTTGTGGAAAAAGCAAATTCACTGATCTCATTTTTTAGTGCTATCACATTTTTGCCTATATACTCATTTATTTTCATATGCTTTCAGGGCTCTTGTGGGCTTTACAGAAATGAGTGATGAAAAATTCATTCAGTGCAACAAAAATGAAAGCTGTTAAAGGAGTGTTGACAAGTAATTGCAGATTGCTGCTCTGTTCTGAACCCTACAAACAGTGTCCAGGTTATTGCGGTGTCTGGGTGTCTACCGAATATATTTATAATGCCGCTACTTTAGAGAACACTTTTGATTCTCATATCAAGGGGGCGGCTTCTCAGTGATTTATCATCACAGTGTGACATCAGGGGGAGACAGCAACTTTCAATGCACCAGTAGCAGATCTGTGATTAACATAGTGCATGTGAACGAGTGAGACATCTTCCAGTGACTTTGACAGTGCTTTCTGCGATTTAGGCTGCATACAGGACGTAGAGTTCACAAACTCAGTTTAACTGTGTTGACTCATTGGGATAATGTTCATTGAAGAGGGGCTGGCTTACAGATGCTCGATGATGAAAACTTTAAAATTGTAAAGCCAAATATTTTATATGTGTTATTAGGCTCCGTTGTGTGGAGACCAAGGAAACAAAATATTTTCTTCGTGCAAGGTCTCAAAATCGTGTCAGTACTGTTTCACTATATAAAAGAGTAAGACATTATGGTAGAATTATGCCTAGTATTTACATAGATCTGATGTAGAAAAACTCGAGGCAAACGTTAAAAATAAGATGACCGTCAAGTCGGCAGCAACAACGCTGGGAAACTTGTTCTAGTCAATTTCAACGAAGGAGCTGCTACATGTTTTTATTGATGAAGCAGTTACTCGGTGCCGGCACAAAAAAGTGGAGATATATCCGAGCTGTCAAAGTAGTTTTTGTTCAACAGGATATGCGGTGTAGTGATTAACAGCATTGTTTGAGACAGGTGCACACAGTTTGATGAAATGAGACGAGCTGGGTAATTGCGAGTTTGTTCTTGCAACAGTTCTTTGAGCCTTTGAGGAATGGATGTTGGTGCACTCCGGTCGTGCGGTGCTGAGATAACATTTCATGTGTCTGTAATAGGTTACAGCAGAGGTTCTAGAAAGTTCTCGAAATTGGAGCATGCGAGGCCCACTGACATACACTGATTCCTTTGACGTGCGTGCCTCAAGTTTGAGATCCCATGTATTGAGATAGAAGCAAAATTTAGGCATTATTGAAATTCAAGTGTTCTACATTGATGTGAATGTCGGGGTGCGGGCACAGTGGTATGCCCCATCATTGCATAAATTATTGAATAATGTCCAAAAGTGCGAGATGGGACTTACAGACTGTGATGTATCTCTCAGGCTTTGATTCCTTGGACTCATTCGCCAGCCACCACAGCAGCAATGGCTTCAGAGGAGCAGAGACCACTCAGACATGCTCAAAAAAGTACAGGTGCGCAACGCATTTATTATGCTTTCAACTTGCAGATCTTTGTTAAAGTTGTTAAAGTAAAGAGATTGTTTAGGTGATGCAAGCCACAAAGTTTTCCTGGGGAAAAGAAAAAAGATGGAAAGTTTTCTTGTTATAAACATTCGAAATTAATTCGCAAGGCAATGCAGTGGCCCTATTAAGTCATAAAGCCTATGTTATAACCTCATCGGTTCATCAATTTCGAAGACATGTTAAAACTGCACAAGCAAGACAACACGTTAGAAACATAAAACATAGACACAAAGTTCGAACTGCCAACTGTGTTTGTTTCTCGAAGGTACAACATTTATCAAAGTGAACAAGGAGAAGTCGCGCCAGTAATCTGACAGTTGGCAGAAATGTGGCAAGGCTGCGTGTGCATTATAAACATAGAAGGATCCTGATGTGTTCATCTAAAAAATCTTTTTCTTTACTTGACAAAGGTAATGAAGGTGAACTAACACAGATGTCACCTTTTTTTTTTGCAATTAAAAATGCCTCAATGACTTCTCTGTTTACAGTGAAGGCTGTTATGAGATAACAAGGGTCCGTAGTTGTCTGCCGCCGCCACCACTTCCAGTGTCCGCAACCACTATCGCAAGAAATAAGAAAAAAAACTTAGTAAATAAAAACACCAAGGACACAGCAGGGTTTGAACCTGGGTTCCATGCGTGTTAGCCCACTATAGTACCTCAGAGTCACACCAGTGCTTCAACTTCGTTGAAAACTTGCCTTAGACGGGCTTGATGTTGGAAAAGGAATCGTGTTAGTATGAGTAATAAAGCGTTTTAGAACAGCAAAGGAACAACCAGGCATCAACACAATGTGAATTCAATTGCGTAACGAGTGGGTCGTCCAATGCTCCATCCCATTATAGAAAACCTTAGTCTTGATCACCTATTGACTGTGGTGCATACCCACTTCAGGCATAATTCATCATCGTCAGCCACTACACAAAAAATTTGCACAAGACTACTTGCAAATGTGTAGCGGTTGCCACGCTTCTTCGAAGAATGACAAAGGATAGCAGAGTGAATGCCAGCCTACACAAAAATTATGATTATTTATGGCATAGTGGGTACCCAGCAAGTACGCTTGTAGCATTTACCCAAAGAGCGTTTAGAAAGAATCTCTGAAAAGCCGCTCTTCTAGCTTTCGCTGTGACTGGTGTTTTTTTTTTTACCTTGTTCACTTTTATAAATCTATACATTCAATGCAGTTGGAAGTCTGTGCTTCGTGTGTGTGCATGTTGTATGTTTCTAACACGTCTTTTTCACACAAATTCATTCATTTTATTATGTCAAAGGTACTTGGTTGGGATGTTACATGAGAGAGTAGATTATAGAAGGGCGAAAAATATAATGTAAACTATGAAGGGATGGTTTCGATGTGGCGCCTTCGATGGGCAGGTCATTCCAGCCTTCATTTCTTCGAAATTGTAACCTCTTAGGCCAGGTTATTTGTACTTTGCAAACTCATTTGTTTTGATTTAAACTCTTGTGGAATACATATATTTGTTTAAGCACTGTTAATAGCTCGAAATTGAAGAATTCAAATACTTAGCCAAACTATGAGAATCTGCACAAGCAGATATGCATAAGAAACAATTCTGTGCAATATTCAAAAATGAGTGTCTTCTCATCTTTTTATTTGATGATGAATGAAAGAGTGATCACTTTGTTCTTGGATAGGACAGCCATGGACCAAACCTTTGATGTGCTCACCAGCATAAATGGCAATTTTTCGCAATTGAAATCTACTCATCAGCCATTCTGACTTGTGTCATCCAAAAGTCATAAACCAGGGTTCGGCAAACTGCAGCCCACAGGCCGCATTATTATATAACCCCTAACACGGCATCAATCCCCTTACCGTATTTGCCTTGCCAATTTCTTTCTGAAGGCCAACCTGACAGTTTTTGACCTAAAATGATATTTTTGCTTGTAACCAATACTTGATTACAACTTTGTGACATGCATGCTAAAAATAAATATTTGTAATCTTGTTTACAAATTAGTGTAGCTTCACCAAAGTTTTATGCTTTGCCTGCAAAGTCCCTTCTTCATAACCTTGACATCATAACCTTGATCACTTTTAGATGCGAAGCAGCTTATGAACAAGGCTTGTCCCCCTGGAGTGACTACTGCTAGTAGTAAACGCGCCCACTAGGGGCGCAGCAATAGCAGCGCTTGCTCGGCATTGCCAATGCCAGTGCCGATATGAGGGCATCGACAGCGCTGATAAACACCTGAGCCGCCTCTGGCTCCGCTTTCCGTTGCTTCCGTACTACTTTAGCTTCGCGGACTTTGCAATTATAAAACTCAATACAAGGACAACCCCTTCGTACTCACTGGGGACATTAGGATGGACGTCATGTATGACTACTGGCTAGTTCAACAAATGTCCCGTTATGTTCTCCGGTGCATTTCACATCACAAGCATCCTACCACCATCAGGAAAATGTGCCTTGACATTGCATTCTTATACTTCAAGCTGCAACCGTTGCATCGAGAGCTATTAATGGTATACTTTACGAACCACAAGGCCACTATACTCGAAAAGGAACATTCCTCCAGAGCTAAAAGTTATATATGAAAACTGGAGGGTCAATGATGATGAAAAGAAAATAAAGGATTTACAAAACTTTAAAAGTGACTCATTGCTGATTCGCATACTACTCAGGGTTCCCTTGGGGAGATGTGTGCGATTTTTTTTTATTGATCGAGTGTGATTGAGGGAGAGCGCATCAGCATATGATGGATTCCCGTGGTGAACATATAACTATGCATCGCATGACGCTCAGATCAGCCAATGGCCATGAATTTGGGTCGCTTGGGCATACGGCATATTGTGAAGAGAGAAGCAATTGATTTTTAGCTGATTTAAAATAGATTGTAATTTCCAAGCCGCATGCTGCACTATAATGTTTGGCTCTCGTATTTTCAGGAGCCTCGACTACGATTGGCAGCGTTTTCTGACTGTGCTGGAAAAGTGTTGTAGGGTCTCTTTAAAGCTGCTGAGATAGTGTGAATTGCAATTCTGTAGGCCCGTGTGCTCAGATTTGGGTGCACTTTAAAAGCCTCCAGGTGGTTGAAATTTCCGGAGGCCCTCCACTATGGCATCTCTTATAATCATATGGTGGTTTTGCGACGTTAAATCCATCATCATCATCATCATAGTGTGAATTGCCTTTTATGTTTAGATCGTGGAACTAATTGCCTTTCATTAATTCTTCAGTGAAGAGTGGTTTTCACTGTTTGAACGAAAAGACATTGCCAGGTGGCTGAAGGAAAAGGCATTACGGCTGGAGCTTGCAGACTGCAGATTCAGAAGCATATGTTGGAAGGCAAGTGATGACTTTTGATTAACTTTCCTGCATGCTTTCGTGCAAATAATTTTTGTTTCGAAAGATTTATGGCTATAGAAATGCAGTATGGGATAAGCATGCTATAGTTTGATTGCTTGAAGAATAAAACCATATAATTTTTATCAGTAGCAGCCCCAAATTGTGGCTTCAATTTCTAATTGCACTATTATACCATCACTAGCCCAGCTGCTATTATTAAAGTTTATAATGTAGTACGTACGATACAAAATCGAGGAAACAGTACAAAATTGTTTAAGTGACGTTCCAAAGAATAGAGAAATGTGTGACAGCAGAAGAGAGAAAACTGTGTTTGCAGACAATCGAAACAAGGCACCACTGTTCACATCCCTACCTTCATCAGTTAGTGACTGGTTTTGTCGACATGCAGTTGGGGCATTTAGCAGTGGCGTTTTACCGTAATGCAATGCGGGGGCAATGTCTCAAAGCTCGAACATTGCAGAAGCTGTTAAACATGACCTGAGCTGTTCAATGAACCAACTACCTCAGCGACAAGCCCTGTTGGAAATAAAGATCTTTCAGCCAAGGTTGCTGTGCTTGCATTAAACTCGTTCACTATGTCATGATGGATGAACTATGGGCTGCCGTTCATTGTATCTGCAAAACAGCCAGGGTCACGTGAGCTTGGTGGCGATATGTAATGAAGAAAGGAGTGCAGAACACGTTTTGAGCAAATAGAACATTGGAGTCAGGTGCTGAGATCGCATTGCGAACAAAGTTGCGAGATGAAAAAAAGTGAGGCTTTTACACTTCCCTAATGCAAAGTAAGAATAAAATTTACATATTATTCAATAAAATAAATATGTATATATAACATGACAGTTTATTATTTTATGGATGCTTTCGGTCATTTGGAATTCAGTTGATTTGCACATTTTTTACTGGTCTCATGAAGTTTGAATTATTGAGCTTTTACTGTATAGTTTATTTTCAGGCATTCACCTATGAAAAGTAGGATGCATGCTGTAAACTCAGTTCTAGTATTGTGCATCTTTGCTGACAATACCTCGAGTCTTCTTTTGTACCACAGAATATACCACACACAATAATGAATTTGTGGATGTGTTACAGGGCTACCGATGAAGCTTGCTGTCAAATTCCTCACTGTTGCACACAGAGAGCTTGTGCAAATCATATTTGAATACCACATTTCGTTGGGGTGGGATCGTAAACCAAGTGACTTAGTCAATTTTTCGTGCTGAGGCAACTATCCTGCTCCGACCCGGTAGTGCATCTCATGCTCTCTGATAAAGTTCCATGGGTCGCTAAGGTCAGCTGAGCTTTGAACATGGAGCTCGAACCATAGAAGTTCCAAGATCCCTCTTTCTCTTTCTCTTGAATAAAGTTCCACACTCTCCCCTTACAGGCTCCGTGGCTTCGACATACACTTGGCATATACACTTGTGTGAACCATTGATAAGTGTGAATTTAAATTGAGTTCAACTGAGTTCAACAGCTATGCTAGGGGCATCAGCACTTGATTTATAAGTGAAATCTTTGATGGCCTTGCTATAGAAAAATTAAAGAGGAGGATGTCTGGTATTAAGTTTGGGAAGAGCAGAAAATTGATTATGCCTGACATTATATTTCCCTCTCCTCTAAACTTTTGCTTTTCAGATATTTTTAGAATGCCTGCCAGACTCCAGAAGTGACTGGATCATTGCAACCAGAGCAATGAGGCACAAGTACGAAAAACTTATGGCTAAGGTAAGTGGACATCTTGTTCGTGCATTCGCTGTGGCTGTCTTCCTTCACGTGTGCTGGATGAATAGCTCCCGCGTTTTCAACATCATGAGACTTATACCAATTTGAAGGCATTTAAAGAGGCACTACAGTGAATCACATAATCGGTCTAGATTGATGAATTGTACTCTGAAAACACTATTGCCATTCATTGCACCATCATAGAAATATAGCAGGCAAAACCAAAGTCAAAGCTTTGTCTTGAAATTTTGCACTGAGGTCTCCATGCATGAAGTCAGAGACTTCAAAGTGAATTTCTCGTATTTTGGCGATTTTGTGTAGACGCTGTCAAAGTGTATGATGTCAAGGTGATTGGTGCAAAAATTTCAAGGCGGTGCTGCTACCCGATATTTGTTTTTGCATGTTTTATCACTTACCAAACTTCACTTTGCGACAAGGGTGGTGAGTTTGGTGTTGTGAAAGAGTACTTTACTACTCTGAGAAAAATGCGCTTAAGTAGCTTGAATATAAGATGTTCCTTCTAAAAAAGCAGCCATAAGAGTCGCAAGTTGTTGGCATCAGCACATGTAAATGTTGTCATTCCTGGCAGTTTGAGGCTTCATCAGATGGTTACTTTGCACAGGCATGTCGAAATCCAAGAATGGAAGTGGAAGAAGAGCTTGACCTGTCTCACAACAATCCCCTGTCACAGGATGAGAAAAGCCCTTGGAACCAGTACTTTGAGGACAGCGAGTTACGAATTATGATCAAGCAAGATGTAATAAGGACGTAAGTGCAGTCATATGCAAGATGTAATAAGGACGTAAGTGCAGTCATATGCATTTCATCTGCTACATTCATTGTCCAACTCAATGTGGGAGTATAGTGTGCAGTCAAACAAGCTGTCGAGAGTACAGTGCAGACCACTGTCAAAGGGAACACTCAAATGTGTGCTACTCACATTTCTGGCACCTTAACTATAAATGGCCGTGGAAACAATGTTCACGTACTGCACAGGTGTGGTAAAAGAAGTCAGAGTATAATAGCATACTCGAAAATTTGGTGATTGTGAAATGAAAAAGACATGGATGAAAAAAAAAACAGAGACACACCGAGCTCTGGGTATGTTTTCTTTCCCTCCTTTTATGTCTTTTTTTTTTTGTTGTTGTGAACTCATACTCAAGCAACGAGTTGGAGCAGCTTAGTGGACCTGCTTGTGCATCAAAATGTCCTCACACCTGTGTTGACACATCCTGTGAAATTGTTAAAAAAAAGCTTAGTCAGAAGGGCATGTTGAATTAGTTAAATGCAGTCGTGTGTTGAGCTTTTTGTATCTTCCTTTATGCCAACACTTTTAGATTGCTTTTAGCTTGAAAACTTGGTGTGAGAGGCAGCACGGTTTTGTCACTGTTGTGTTAGTGGCTTTGCTATTGTCACATTGTGATTGGCTAGGATGCAGCACGAAAGGCAATGCTTGTCTCAGCCACGGGTTTTTACTGTGTTGTTGGTGCTCGTGCATTAATCACACCAGTATTTCGAGCTTTAACACATTCCTCAAACATATACTGTTAGCAGTCATCATGCATAGGTGATTTGAACGGATGCTGAGAAATGTCATCCTAGATTTTTGACATGCCGACTTGCAGCAGACCTGGCGATTCTGCTTAAGAAAATCCATTTGTGACATTCATTTTGAGCATGTAGACATCATAAACTGCTATCAGTACACAGTGATTTTCCAAACTGCAACTCCATCACGAGGCAAGCAGACTTTGAGGGGTTTTACGAAGCTAAAAATTTTTCAGAACATACTTCAGCATCTCTGTAAACCAATGGCACCCAACTCGACGAGAAAATGAGCCAAAGTTGCAGCCGTGGTTCCCGCCCGAGCTGCTTCCTCTGAAGTTGATTTGTGTGATCAAGCCAATGGCTGTGATAGCACAGATGTCGGTTGTGGTAACCCCGCTACTAACTGCAGCGAATGATTACCGCGGGTTCACGCTTAGCGAGCCACAGTCACCTACTTGCGTGTAGCGCACCGCTCCGCACACGCTCAACTAATAAGGCGTTTAGCGTGGCGCGGCAAGACAGACAGTGTTCCAATACAAAAATACACAACACTTTATTACCCTTGGCGGCCCCCCCGAACAACAGTACAACGTCCGCTCCCAGGACGCGGGGAGCAAATGCACCCGCAAGCGGACGTTCACAATAAGGGGAAACCGCGAGTACGTCGCAGCTGGCAATGGCGAGCTTCGGCACGCCGGCTGGGAAAAGGTCCCTCACGGCTATGCTGCGCACTTTCACGATGGCCACTGGGCCTGGTCGCGAGTGTTAGGGCAAACCTCGTACGCGTAGGCCTACGGCAAGTGCGGCTCGGTGTGGTATGACCACTTCAAGCACTAGGCACCGCTGTGGGCTTAGCGTATGGTACAGAAGCTAGCACTCAAGTAAACACGCCTGCCGAGGTGCCAAAGGCCACCCCAGGCAGGCTACAGTCCGGCGATTCCCAAAGGGGACGCGGATGAAGGAAAACACGTGCTTACCCGGCGCCGACCGCGGAGGAGAGGCAGCTCCCTCGGCGCGCACGTAACCCGTGCCGCGTCTGCACGTGGCGCCATCTATCGCCACGCGCCGTTACCAGAGCAGAAAAAGCAAAAGGGTGTGGTCGTGCGGCGGAATGCCTGCGAAATGGTCGCGGGCGCGCCTCAGATCCCCACACGGTAGATGTCAACATGAGATTTTAAATCTTGCAGAGGTGATACTTCTTATTTTTTTTTGGCAATCAATACAGAAGTTAGCATGAGAAAGGTGTCAGGTACTGCTATTAAATGATTTCAATGCAGAAGCTAAGGCTGCTTCACATTGCTTCTCTGAGTTCCTTATGCGATGAAGTGATTGTTTCTTATTCTGCAATGAACATCCACCTACTAGCCTTACTCCCTATTCTGTTTCTAACAAGAATGCCCTTCCATTTTACAGATTCCCAGAAATAGAATTTTTCCAGACGTCGGATGTGCAGGAAATGATGGTGAACATTCTCTTCCACTATGCAAGGCAGCACCCACAGATTTCATACCGACAGGTTTGTACCATCTGCATTGTCATCTGTAATGATTCTAAGAGCAACCACATAAAGAAAAAACAGCTGTGTTATTACAACGATCTGCCAGAACATTAGCAGCCTGAGAAACTTTAGAGCAAGCAGAAAAAGAATACACGAGATCAACATATAAACTTCAACTGGTTGTCGCACAATAATACATAACAATAAGTACGTTTTGTAACAGTCAGGTAGTATTATCAGGATTAATCGCTGCATAAAGTATTCCATGTGGCTGAGATAGCCGACCAACTACTCAGTACAGGCCTCATATTGTACCTGTTGCGGTTTTTGATCGGTGAGAATCGCTAGAAACAGCAAAGAAATAAGTCTACTAAGGGTATGTAGTGACTGCAAATCTGAACCATGAGATCGGAGTGACTAGTAGAATAAGAGTGGGGTGGAGCAGTACATTTGGCTGATACTCGCAGACCGTGAAATGCAGTTTACCGGCATCCCTCATGATGAAATTATATAACAGCTGCTTCTTACTGCTACTTATCTGCTGGACAGAAACCTGAAGGCTTATGAAAAGGATTCAGCTTAAATTGGGGACAACGCAGTGAGCCATGGAAAGAAAAATTATGGCCATGACGTTAACATACAAAAAGAGAGTCATGTGGGTTAGGCAAAGGAGCAAGCTGTAGAATATCTTATTTGAAATCAAGAATAAATGGGCATAGGCTGGGCATGCAGAGAGAAGGCAACATAAGCACTGATCATGAGCCAGAGAGTAAGAAATGATTCCAAGAGAACACAATCCGACTGATGGAGACAGAAAGTGAGGTGGGTCGAAGAGGTCAGAGTTGCACGTAACGCATAACAAGTAATTGATTACTTGTAATCAATTAAATTTTCTTGTAGTTTTGTAATTTAATAAATTACTTTTTGAAAGTGTAATATTCTGGGTAATCAAATTAGTACATCTTTATGTTATTTTTATGTAAATAAACCTAATAGGATATATTTTTTGTTCATTGAAGGGAATGCATGAGCTTTTGGCTCCAATCATTTTCGTACTGCACAACGATCAACAGGCCTTTCTACATGCCTTAGAGCTGGACTATATCAGGTGAGCCAATTTTACTGCTGGTAGTTGTGAGAAACCATTACAATGGATATAAAATGCAGAGATTGGGATTTCTGATGAAACTCCCATAGCCTCTAAACGCTGATCTTTTCATGACCTAGCAATGCGCAGAGTCCGTCCCTGCACTGCTGAGTTAGCAAACATGGCCTCTCAGATTCACTGGTACACTCATTGCCAATATTATGAAGGCCATGCAATGGCCACACACATCTACATTTGGCATCAAAAGGTTAGAGGCAGCTATGTCTGCAAAAACTTTGAATTTTGCAGCAATTTGTAACTGTGTTTGGTTTAACTGCACAGTATATGTCGCTAGCACACTTTAAAACAGGCTGGAAATCCAAATTCAAGGCTATCTGCCAAAACAGCTGGAATATTCAGCTTTTTTTTGTGTGTGTGTCCTGTGGCTCCATGCATTTTGATATTGAGTATACGTTTTACCACAATCAACCTTCACCTTCAATTTGTGTAGAATACTCCACTTCGGCTCAGTGCCAAATAATACGATGCCAGTCTAAAGCAGTGTGCATTACACGCCATGTGGTGAAGGTGTGACTGTGATAAAGTTCAAAACGGAAAGTGGAGCTATTTGATGTCAATTCTTCATAAAAGAAGACAATGTGCACTACTCACGGATTGAAATGGGACACTCAGGGCCAAGCCACGTACATACCTTGTGGGGTCTCAAATTGGCTAGCTCCAGCCACCATGCTCTTGAAGTGAACGGACACAGCAGACGCGGTTGGAACAAATCAAAGAGCACATATTTATTTAACTACTTTTGATTGATGATATCGTCAGCCAAATTATTATACATCAATCGTGCTCAACACGCTAAAACATCCTTACACAATATTAAAGAACACTCAACAACAATGCAAATAAGGCAGTGTCGCTAACGCCTGACTCACCACATGGGCCTAGCGCAGGCGGCTTGCGGTGCCGTTCACGGCAGACCCATTGCAGGGGGCAACCGTCTGCCCTACCGCACTACGCCAAAAGAGACTCCACAAAACAGCTAAAGATTCGCTCAACTCTTTCTGCCACCATCAACGCTTGCCTGCCCTCACGGGTCACCACCGGCGCTACCGCTCTAACAACCATGATGATGATTGAGGTCATACACGCTCGCGTACACGCCACCTACCGCTCAGTAGTTGTGACCCCAAAACATGGCTTCTGCGCGAGACACGTGTGCCACGCGGCGCAAACAACTTTACAAGGAGTGTTGGCACCTCCCACAACCTTTGTTTACACCGTCTTCCGTTCGGGTCGTGTTGGCGTAATTTTGACACAAACACATAGATCAGAGCAGCATTTTCTTCAGACACCAGATTGTAAAGACGTGACGTGGTTATCTCCAGCGATTGCACATGCAAGTCATTGCAGTCGTCATTCTGAAAATTCGATGTCTCATTTGAATTTGTGAGTACTGAACACTGTACACACATACTACACAAGTATCACAGTTTGTTAGTGTTGTCTTTCAGACCGACAAGCGTGCTTCGATTGTGGGGCTCCTGTTTCACAACAATCTTTCTTTACAAGAGACACTGTTACACAAGATGTCTGTTTGTGAAAGGCATCTGGAAACGGTTCAGCTGGATTTTCTATGTTTACCTTTTGAATAGCATTGCATCCAAAAAACATTCAGTTGCCAAAGACAAATTATTCAGGCCTCTAGAGTGAATTCTTGACTTAGTTGTAAAAGACACAACCCAGAGGCGCTTGCACGATGCAGTGGACATTGTGCCATTCGTTATGCTCTGCAGTTTTTATTTTCATGGCTCGATTCTTTTCCATCCGACAGACGGATGTCATTCCTTTCATTATTGTGACTTAAATTGTAGTGAACCTTCTCTCATTATGCATTATGACAAGTACAGGAAGTGTCAGCGGTTGATGCTGATGGACATCTAAAAGCTAGCACTTTGAAGGTATTGTTAGTAAAAGGAGGTCTTTCAAAAGAAAGTCTTTTACCTCTTTCATCGCTTAACAAATGACTACAAATAATTACTTCTTTAATTCAACCTGAGGAACTGTAGCTGTGGTTAAACACACTTACATGCTGATGACTGATGTAGTCTAATTCCTTCGTGTTTTTAAAAAACTAAGGAATTTTTTAGAATTTTTCAGAACTGTGTGAACTACTGGTGTTATGCAGGATCAAATTCTGGCTGTTGCAGCTGCATTTTCGATGAAGGGGGAAATGCTGTAGGCTCGTGTGCTCAGATTTGGGTGCACATTAAGAAACCTCAGGTAGTCGAAATTTCCAAAGCCCTCCACCACGGCATCTCTCATAGTCACATGGTGGTTTTGGGACGTTAAACCTCACATATCAATCAATCAAATCACTTCAGTGTTAGGCTGACGCAATTTTTCTTTTCTCCTTCTTCAGGGAGTTCCCAGATGCTCTGAGGTGAGTGGACTGCCTCATACATAAAGTGTTTGATTATTGTCCTCATGCATTTTTTGTCTCTCTTTCAGGGATGACATCAGGGAGCTGCTCAATCCCGACTACACTGAGCATGATGCCTTGTAAGAATTGCCTCTGCTTTTATCTGTCATTTCAACACACATTCACATCAACTCTGGAGTTGGCAAAGTATCGGTTCTGGCTTATATGAATAAGTATGCTAGAGTATGACATTTCGTAAATGAATACATCAGCATCAGTGCCATCTAATGTAAGTCGTAAGGATATGGATCAAGACGGGTAGGAAACACTTGTTCAGAAGCAATTCCTTTAGTGATTGGATGAAAGAAGGAGAAGTTTTATGAGCTCGTTTTTTTTTTTGCTAAACACTACATTAATTAGAACTAACAGGCATGAAAGCCAAGGAAAGTATAGGGCATGTTATTTGTAGTACATACGGTGCAGATGTGAAGTATGTAAAGTGGATAAACGAAGCAGGTTCGAACCCTGCTGTCAGGAAGTCATCTTTTCATCCACTTTGCTTTTTTTCACATTTACATCACAATAACTGCAAATAACGTCCCCCCGTACTTTCCTTGGTCTTCTTGTCTGTTAAAATTAATGTTGTGCTTAACCAGAAAAAAATTCCCCTCAGCAACTTACGTTCTTTAATAATGCTTATATTTCCAGCTTTCTGTTTAATCAAGTGATGGATGCTGTGGAATCTTGGTACTCGTGGAACGAGAATTACATTAAGGTAAGAGAGCCATGTCCTGTTGCAGTGATGGGGGCAGAATGCGTTGTGATCTGAGCGCAGGTTAATAGCGTGAATGAGGTGCTCCCCAACGTAACTCCTGACCTCTGTGTGGGCTTGCATGATCCAGGTTCAGCTGCACTTATATTAATAAAGTTTGTGAGAATTCAGAATGCTTCACTATTCGTGTTATCATACATCAATATAGAGATTGTGCTCTAAGCTGATTGCATGCTTTGAAGGGACACTAAATAGAGAAAAAAATTAATTTATTTTAGGAGAATAAATTATTCTCTACGAAAATTGTGTTGCCAGTCATTCGGCAATCGAAGCCAATCGTGAAAAGGGGAAATAAAGGTCAAAGGTTCATCTTTGAATGACTCTACAGAATTTCAGCTGATTACGATCAGTGGGACATCGCGAATTTCGTGCTCTTGTGTATCTTTTTTTGTCCACATTTGTTTAACAGAGTTGTCTAAGGCTTGATATGTAATATATTTTGGCCTCTCGAAAAAAATGTATGCAATTTTTACTAATGAACCGATATGCAGGCCTTAGTAGACACCATCGAAAATATCTGACATCACGATGAGCTCATGCAGCAGCTTCAAGGTTGTGTGACCCCTGCAATTTTTTCTGTGCATTTTCTTGGTTGTCAAGCATCTTGACATTTCTATCTCACTTGCCAAGCCGCAATGCCCTTTCCATTGTCTGTGACATGGATGCCACGTTTTACCATTCTGCTCGACACATGTCGCTATGTGATGTGCAATGTTACTTATCAACTTTTTATCACTTCTGCATGCTTTTTGTTCATTTCACTTCATGCTGCATTGCAGTAATTTAATAAAATTTTTAATTGTGAGTTAGAACTTGTCTTTCTGTTTTCTGAATCTGCAAGCAGGAAATTCAACTTGTTTCTGGCGAATATTAGTTGGCATGAAGCGAAAATAAGATAAGTGACAGAAGAAGGGACGAAGACGACTGCTCACTTTCAACGTTTATTTCAGAGAGCGTGCAGATATACACCCTCATAGTGTGGAAAAAAACAAGACATTGCCAAGGTATTGTTTCGGGGATGTATAGCTGTACGGTGTCTGAAACCTAAACATCGAAAGTCATTGCTCTTTATCGTCCTTTCTTTTGTTTAGTGCCTCATCTTTGTGCAGTGTCTACAATTAAACTTTCTGTTTGCTCTGTCTTTGTCACATTGTGCTGCACTAAGTGCATGACCCAAATTTGGATCCTATTTTCTTGTAGCCATGAAGCGTGCAAGCTTGGGCAAGTTGGTAGGACATAACTGAATGCAGGAACTGCGTAACCTACAAGTAGTTACTTCATAACTACGGAAGCGAAAAAAACAAGGACAGAAAAGAGCGCTGTTTTCTGTCCTTGTTTTTTTCGCTTCCGTAGTTACGAAGTAACTACTTGTAGGTTGCGCTGTTCCTGCATTCAGTTATGTCCTTGTAGCCCCTAAGTATTAGTTCTGTTTCATTATTCTATATGTTGACTGGTGAAACATGACATTCTGTGCCAGCTATCCTTTCAGCTGCATCGTTTCCTACTGTGCTTGATTATTGAGATTGAGGCCATACTCGTTTTCTTGAATTACTTGTGACTTTTTTTTTCTACTCTTTAGATCGACCAGTTCAGTTTCATGCCATTCGCCAAGACCACCACTCTAGGTTTACACAACGGTCTAGGCGTGAAGCTCTGCAGGATCAACCAGTCAATGCTCAAGGCACACGACCTTGCCATCTACACACATTTGGAAAACATGGAGATCCCGCTCCACGTATTTGGAATGTGCGTCAATTTGGAGTTTACTGTGTATTGCCTGGCTGTTGCTTTCACATTGACCGACCGGTGTTTGCCATTTACAGACGTTGGCTTCGACTGCTTTTTGGACGGGAATTCGTTCTGCCAGAACTGCTCATACTGTGGGATGCCATCTTTGCCGACAGCTTGGCCTTCAACCTGGTTGATTACATATTTGTGGCGATGCTCATTTGCATTAGGAAGCCATGTGAGTTGTGGGATCTCAGTTGCAGTGTGTAGGCTTCAGAAAACTAGAAGAGTAGTGCAGGTGTCTAGATTTGTTGCACTTTTATGAGGATTTTATGTGAAGGTTGCCAGCTTTTTCAGAGGCACTGCAGTATCGTGCTCAAACCATTCTCTGTTAACGCAACTGTGAATATAAGTGTCAATGTGGTTCTACTTGCAGAACAGGAAACAAAAGCGTTTTAATCTCTCTCTGTAGTTACTACCGATGGTAGTAACTGCAACTTTCGCATGGGTTGTGCAATTTCAAGAAAAATGAGGCTATTAATCTGTTGTCTTTTTCTCTAGAACCATTATTTCACCAATTCTGTAAGTTCTTGCTTTATACACCGTGGCAAACAATGGCACAATTTTTTTTCACTCGCATGATAGACAGCACAAACCGGCAATTACTTTTCATTAACGATCATTGGCAGACCATTTAGATGCTCATGTAAGACCACCAGGCTTGCTTGGAGCATGCAGCAACATTACAGCATAAGTTGTAGTTGCAGACTTGTAAGAGCTTGTATTCACATACCAATCTTATTCACATCTTTATATTTTGTTTTCCTTATCGTTTTTGTGCACTTACCATGCTTTAACTGCATAAAAGTAGTGAGCAGAGTCAAAGACAACTCAGGTTAGTTTGTGAATACTGGCTTTATATTTGTTTATGGAGTACATTAAGAGGGCTAGAAATATAGAGAAAATAAGAAAAAGGGATATTAGTTTGTGAATATAGGCTTACGAGTTAATTATAAATTCATCAGGGGCACATGCTGTAAGTTCACTGCATAACTTGTATGCATTCATTAAAAACATGGTCAGGTGCGCTTTCTCAATCCTGTAATTTCAGTGGTGCGGCCTCAATTATGCAACAAACCAAGTAGACCAAAAGTCTCTAGATTCAAATGCTCGTGTAGTGGCTCATGTGACTCCTTGGCAAATAGGACACCACTATGAGGTCTGTAACCACTATAAGGACGTCATCCTTGCACAATAGGATTTCACTGTAAAGTATATAAGGCCACCACATTGGTTCTAAATGCTGACGTTGCTAGTGGCAGAACCGTTCTCACCGTTTCAGAGCGCTTAAGTTTGATTGAGACAGAAATTTCACTTTCTAATTATGAATGATAGCGGTGACAGTAGTGAAGAATATTGCCAGCGAAATAGTCTACTGCAATGAGTTCATAAGAGCGTAAGTCATAAATAAAAACTTTACCCATGCTATTTGTCACTCATTCACTTGGAAAAAAAAAATGTTTACCTGACTTAATGCTCTTACATTTGAATTTGCTAGCTTGATGTTTGTTATGTACAATTGAACATGCAGTGCCCAATTTATGCTTAAAAGTTTAGTTGCAAGACTTCTATAAGGGTGCAGTTTTTAATCAATGAGCGGCGACATGTTCTTTTCGTTATGTGCTCCCATGATGTGAATGAGCAGCAGCTGACTTAACAGCTGACTTGCCGAACGTAGATACTTTTCTCATAGTCTCCAAGTGTCCTCTATAGACATTCTGTGGTTGCTTGAAAAAGGTCTACCTCATCAGTCTGCGACATTTTGTTAAATCTGCTACATCCATGCTACAAATGAAAAAAGGTGCTCCAATGCTGCCCCAAAATGTGCCCTTCAAGATTCTGTGGGAAAATAAAAATAGTCTTGCACAGCCTCAGAAGTTCCGTCCAGGAGAACTTGTAGACCATGCCTGATAATGATTGTCAGCACCCCATGTGAAATGTGTCATGTCTCCTGCCTTTGTCAAAGCTCCCTTCAGTGTGCTCTCGCACATAATTTGGTATGATTTGTCAGTGCTAGTGCACTTGGACAATTTCACGTTTGTGCAGGGCCCTGGGGAATTTGCCAAAATACTGCAAATGGCTCATGACAGCTTTTTTCATGGTTGCTTTCTGTTTTGCAACCTTTTACATGCATTCATGTCCAAAGGTAACTGCCAATAGGTTGCCTTTAGTGTCCCTTCTAAAGATTTTCTTCATCTTTCAGTGCAGTATATTGGCTTTTATCTGTGCATACTTGCAGTGCTAGTAGTGTGCAAGCACGGCATACTTGCAGTGCAAGCATGCATTGAAGTTATGGTTCAAGTACATTTTTTTTTGCGTAGAAATGCGACTTTTTTTTTTCCCTCGGCTCAATCAATCACTGTCTTTCTATCGGTGGCATCAGTCAGCCATGATGCTAAGAGTGGTGCAGAAAACGGAAGGTGTACCTACAAAATAGTCACTTCAGCAGCAACATCTCTTTCATTCCAGTGCTGAACTCTGATTATGCAAAGTGCCTGAGCTACTTGATGAAGTATCCGGCAGGCCGAAATGTCACCTACATTCTTCAACTGGCTCTGCACTTAAAGGACCCTAAGGTGGGTTCACGCAGCCCAGAATTATTGTTTCTGGTCTACCACCCGTTGTAATCATCAGTGAAAAGCTATCTGGGAGAATTTTAAAAAATCAAATTAATTTCTTGCAACGCTGACTGGTCATGACTTTGCGGTGAAGATATATCAATACTTTATCAATGTGCAAAGGAAAATCTGTCGCCTGGTTTGCCTATGCAAAGAACAGATAACTGGTGGATGGTAAGGTCGATAAAATGGAAGGTGCAGCCGAGAAGGGTTGATGAAATCAAGAAATTTGCAGGAAAAAAACGGAGCTATTTTGCACAAGATAGGGCAAATTAGAGATCATTAGGAGAGCCTTTTATCCTGCATTGGACACAAAAATATGCCAATGATGATCTCATGAATAATAATAAGGTGGTGTCTCTCAGCCTCTGGGCTTGCTTAACTGCTTAAGAGTCCACAAATAGATGCTCATCAGTGTATCTTGCTAGAAAAGAACATCAGTGAGCAGTCTCTTCTCTCCAATGAACTGGGCTACGCAGGTGGCCGTGCTGCCGTTCAGTGTGTGCCTATCTCCTATACTTTCTGCAATCTAATTTAGAGCACTTGCAATGCACTTCAGAAATACCCGAGGCCAGGAGAACAAGATTTTGATGTCTACAATCCTGGCTTGGTCACAAAGATGTCTGGGAGAAGTGTGCTCTCAGTGGAAGCTCCCAGGTACTTTGGCAGGTGAGGACAGTTTTCTGCGCAACTGTTCGGAGTGGGTAGTTCGCTTATTAAGGGAATGTTTGAAGTCATGTTCTTTCACATGTTGGAGCATCATTGAACATTACAAATGCGTTTGCATGATGCCATAAAAGCAGTGGTTGAGTATGTTGCACTACTAGATAAGTTCATCTACACCGATTTGCTTGGTGCACACTTGCGGTAGATTCCCTACTTCTCAGTGAACAGAACTGTCTTAAATGAAATTGCTACTTAAATTGAGGAACTGCCTGTAGTATGACTATTTTTGTGCTTGACTTCTGCACCCCTGTATAACGGGTGTTTACCTCTTTGTAAATGAAACTCCTGTTAAACAAAGCACTTTTTCCTGGTTCCTTCAAGTTTTGTATTGCTGGAGCCTACTGTATTCTTACAGAATTAGAACACATTGTTGTAAATCTTGGTGACAAATTATTTGGAAGAGCACTGATTTTGTATTTTCTGGGGTTAATTTCTTGTGCCTACTGATGGTTGAGCACCTGTGAGCTCTAGAAAAAGAAATAAGCTACTGTATTAGCCTTCCTTCAACCTGGATCTGTCATCACAGAGCCAGATTTTTCTCCATAAGGCCTTGCAAGGCGTCTTGTTGTGACTCAAGCTTTCGTGGTGCACACTGTTCTGGCATACCTATCACGAGCTTCAAAAAGTTAAAACCTGAACATCCTGCATCTCATATGCCAACAAGCAAGTTCAGAATCACGCAGTAAAAGTAAAAACTGTTAAACACCTGGTTGGAGCTTGAAGCTACAAAGAAATCCTCCGGACAGATTTCTCAGAAAGGAAGCTTCTTGGACGATAAAAAATTCATCTTGATTTAGGTGATTGAACTCGGGCCCAATGCCTTTCTGGGCGACCACTTCACCAGTTGAGCTAATCAGGATGCTAACAATTGGCAGTGTGGGAGGGAATTATCCGACTACTAAAAATACTTCCATGGACTGTTATGAATGGATCACTTGCTTAGCAAAGAAAAGTTTCCAATCTGTCATGTATGAGCATAGCTAAAGGAATTTGTCACATGAATCAAGTGCTCTATTTTTCATTTTCTTCCAATGAGAGTGCTCAAACTTACAGAGGGTTATTAAAGGACTCAGTGGCAAGAAGCCAAGAGCACTTCTTTCTTCTTTATGCATGTTTCTTTCTTCATTAGACGCATCTGCTCTCTTTCTCTGTGGTCACGAGTGGTAAGTGGGCACATAGTGGCACTCTGTGATGGCCACAGTAATTATACAGCGCAGCTATTGGCTGAAATCAGCCGATGGCTGTGTCCTTCCCTGCTCTGGCATATTTGGTCCCTTTTACAGCACAGTTCGTTGAAAAAACAGTGAGGAATTTCTGGTAGCTTTTTTTTAATGTGATCTTGAGTTCTCTGCCTCAAGCAATGCTATAATATTTTGCTCATAGGTTCGCAGAAGCCTCGGCTACGGGTCAGCAGCAGTTACAAGAAGAGCAGCAGTGCCTTTTTAGTTGATAACCACATCCTTTTACTGCTTTGCTATACTGTAAGAGGTCGCAGGAGAGCTCTTCCAACAACCAGGTGGCAGGGACAATAGTGATCGTGCCCTTTGTTTTACAGTCCTGTGGGTCGACCCAATACCTTGGGAATTCAGGTGCCCAGTACAAGCAGTGAACCAACTAGCACCTTGGAGTCTGGTTCTGAAGTCTCCGATGGTAAGGAAGAAAAGACCATTTTAGACATTTCACTCCCAAATGTGAAGTTTTTGTGCGGTAGGACAAAAGACTGTATACTAAATCGGAGAAGTGGCAAAAGGTGGGCCAGTTGGTACATAACTGAAAAGTTGAAGAAACAGCATGACGACAGTATGAACGTGGAAAGAGGATGCATGCTGACTGCCAAGCTACATAATGCAAGAAGAATTTCACAGCATAGAAAAAAATAAATCATTATTTGTTATATTAACCAAGTCGTCACTTAAGCTGTTCCACTCTCTTATTGTTTTTGGTAAGAATGAGTGGAAAAAAGTATTGGATCTGCATTTGAAGGTAGATATCTTTTTGCTATTGTCACAGCGAGTGGATGTGTAGGGGGGTTGAACCAGGTAGCTATGGTGATTGATTCTTGTGTTAGAGTAATATATCTAGTGCAACAGTTTAAGCCGTAGTTTCTGTCTACGTACACGTAGTAGATCCCATCCCAAAGGGGCCTTCATTTGTGAAACACTGGCGTAGGAGCTATAATTATTTAAAACAAACCTTGCCGCTTGGTTCTGAAGTTTTTGCTATTTTATTTATAAAATAGTCTTGGTGGGGGTCCTATACTACGCAGGCATAATCAAGTATGGACTTGACCTGCAAAAAATATAAAGTTTCTTTGATATCGTGCATTGCCTGTTTGAAATTCCTTCGAATAAAGTTTTATAGAAAGAACCAAGAATATACTGACACGCAAAAGAATGAAAACACATCAAAGTAAAATTTTAGTCGCCTGCATGATGTCAAACAGCTAATTTATTTTTCGAACAGGTCTAGTGACGAAACGCTTCCACATTGCTTGCCTCTTTGATGGATAGCAAATGCCTCAAATAACTCTTGCACGCGCCTTTGATTCCAGGCGACTTCTTGCCGCCTGCATCTGGGTGCTCTCATGATTGCCTCCTGAAGTTAATACAGACCAAAATTAACATGTAAGCTTAAGAGGGTTCGACGAGGGTGATTGTCTGGTTATGACCTGAATGATGTGAAAATCTTGTCGCATACGGGGTCAAACCCTTTCTACAGACACGTGTGGAATGGGTCACTACATATATGCGTGTATGGCCACTTGTTATTGACAGTTAATCAGTTATTGAGAGATAATTCCCGCATTATAGGAAACAACTATACATTTGCTCAAGTTTTTTACTAGCATCAGTTTTGATACGAAAAACTCGCAAAGCAGGTGGCCACAATTGGTTGCAAATGGTTGGAAATGGCCTCTTACGTGAAAAAGTGAGTGGCACAGTCAGTTGCTTCTCAGTTTTTCAGTCACGCGGCTGTAGTCACCAACCTCTGAACTAATCATGTAGCAGGAACAGGACACGATCTTATTTTGTAAGGCAGCGAGAGTGTTAGCGACACAATTCAATGTAGCTACAGCAGTAGTTTGCAATGACATGTACAAACATTGGTCGCCTTGAGTCACCATTTGGTTGCCAGTTGCAAATGATCACGCGACCGGATGCTAGTTACTAGTGTGAATGCATAGCACATCTCGAGGTTTTTGTTTGTTTGACATAAGGCAAAAACCACTCACACTTTACGAAGACTGACAGAAGAGTGTGCTCTTTTAGCCTCATTACGTGAATACACCTCTAGGTGAGTGCCTTGCATTCAAACAGTAGTATTGATTTTATTTATTTATTTTTGAACTCCTTCAATCCTCAGTGATGATTGTTACAGAAATGGAAATGAAAAATACATTTGGCAAGCAGAGGTAATGCACTACTCATGCAAACAAGAGCACACTATAATAATGACATTGTCGTGCACAAGCATGGGTCGGTGAACTCACTCATGACTGAACTCACTCGGATTCACTCAGACTCATTTAGACTCTAAGTTGGAATTCAGAGTCTGAGGGAGTCCGGCTCAGTAACATTTTGGCGAGTCTCAGTTTAAGTGAGTGCAACACGCTATGTACTTTTCATGAGGGAGTCCGGGTGAGTTGTACTTTTCTTCCCGGCCAATGGTCCTATCTAGGTACTCAACTTCTGCATTGCATGTTGGCTCATGTTTATATTTACATCTGCTCACGCGTGTTTCAATGGAACTAGTGATTATATGCCAGCCGAATAATGATTGATGAGAGGCGTGAGTTACAGAGGAGAAAAGAATGCCCCCAATCTCCACTCCACAATCTTTTTCATGAGACATTCTTTATAAAAACGAGTTGTGTGTATGTTCTTTTTGGACTGAAAACTCGTATTTCAAGATATGAGATCAAAATGAACCATGTAGAGCAGTGATTATGTGAGATAGTGGCATTTAAAGGGCAGTGATACCATGATCACAAAAGCTAATTTATATACCAATCCTCTCGTGAGCCCACTCACTCTGACCCACATTGAGCTGCGAGTCGGAGTCTGTGCAAATCTGGCTGAGATTGTGATGATCCTGAGTTCGACAGAGTCTGGCTGAGAAAAATTTTAGTGTGTGAATCAAAGGAGTATTGTTGAAGAAAATTTCAGTTAGTCTCAGTTAAAGTGAGCCCTAAGTGCAAACTCTATATTTTGAGTTCAACGGAGTCTGGCTGAGGAAAATTTTAGTGTGTGAATCCGAAGGAGTAATGTTGACCCTAAGTGCGAACTTTATATTTTGAGGGAGTCTAGGTGAGCTCCCCTTGTTTTTGCCGACTGATGCGCATGGTCGTCTATCACTTCTGCGCGGACATGAGGATTATGCAAGTGTACGAGGCAAGACGGTAAACGGTTGCAGAGGAAAGTGCGGCTTCGAGACAGCAGCAGCGGGGCCTGCCCAAGCTCAGCGGCAGCCAGGTGTGGTCCTTTCGGGGCATCAAGAAGAATGCCAACCCCAGCAGTGGCAGCAGGGGTGACAAAGAGATGGTCCAGCTGAACTCCTCAGGTCGTCATGCGTCAGGGCGGCAGCATGGAAGGGGGAGGAAGTGAGCTGCCCCTGAGACACGACTTGGAAACTCAGGTAATCTTTGTGACAGTGTCCACTTGGTTTTAAGTGTGGAGCACTTTTGGGACCTGGTGTGTCATCCGTTCAAGCGTCACACATGGCGTGATGACGCTGACAGTAAAGCGCTCCATGTAGGTCATAACAAGGCTAGCATTTCTCAGAGCCGGATTAAAATGAACAAGATCTAAGTTACAGTAGAACCTCTTTGATACATTGCCCCCAAAATGCATGAAAAATAAACATACCATTCAGGAAAATCTGCAAAATGAGTTCAGTAAACATCAAGGCTGCAAGCCCATTATCAGGTGCATGGACAAAAAAACATTTCTTAAAAAAAAAAAGAAAAAAAAGCAGCTTTGTGGGGCTTTTTGATTTTCGAGCTTTTGGCAGCTAGCTTTTTCTCTAGTAAATATTGTGGGAAACTTAATGTTCTTAACTTCTTGGTGGGGCTGCATCACACAAAACTGTTTTGTTCAGCCTGTTCTCATTGTGCCTTTGTATGGCTCATGCAGGGCGAGTGCCACCACCACGTGGCTGCCTGTCCATCTGAGGAAGTCCATCAACTGCACAGGCAGCTCTGCCACATGCAGCAGGTGATGGACTGGTGTTGTACCCAGATGAGCACTCACCTCGCGTTGCTTCAGGAGTCGGTGCTTTCGCAAAAACTTCAGAGGGAAGATGAAATCATGCTGGCCATTGCTCGTCTTAAAAGGGTGAGCATCCCATGAAGAACTGAGCAGCTTCACGCTGGACTTTGCTCATTCGAGGACCCCTGACAGTGAAATGTTCGTTTGCAACTTGTTTACAGTGATTTGTAGCTTTGCGTATGGTAGTTCCAAAGTTGAATTGTAAATGCTCTAAGGCATCATATAATTTAAGCTAGCATCATTAATCGAGAATTATTTTGCATCCACCTAATTACCATAAAAACTAGCGCCTCACAGTGGAGCAGAACCATAGACTACGTGCACTCAAAGTTCGGTGGTGCTGAGTGCGCTGTTTTCAAATAGGGGACCTATAGGTGGTGAAGAAAGAAACTATGTGGATTCCTTGAGCGTGTCCCCCTCAGAAAAAGGAAAAGCATTCCTGACCTAAGCAGCCAAAACCACTTTGAGAGCAGCCCGACAACAGATCAAGAGGGGTGATGAGCAATCACCCCTCTTGCTAGTGGGGGTATCGCGCCAGTGTTGTAGGGGGTACCAGTGTTGTAGCGAGTGCAGTAGGGGTGCCAGTAAGGTATTGTGCACGCCCTACAGATGTTTTCAGACACTGACAATACTTGCTTGACCTCTGCAATGTCATGACGAAGTCCCATGTTTTCATCAAACCACAGAAGATGTCGTTTGCACCTGAATACTTGGACGAGCATACACCTTTAATATCTTATGGGCACCACTTGTCACTAATAATTGCTCAGATGGGCCCCCGTATGCAGTACTCTCAGACAACCTGATGATCTCGAGTTTCCAATTTGGGTTTCAGGGGTCTTTTAAAGAAAACTACGGTTGTGAAGAACGAAAATGTGTCGCACATTGTACCGATGCCTACTATACTTGTCGAATTGCATGTAGTAGTGGCAATTCCTGACTCTAGATGCACATGTATGTTCATGTTGTATGATTTGTTTATGCATTTATTTGTCGTTTATTTATTCATTGTATTGCCACCTTGGAGAACCCGGTGTAAATCATGACCACTTTTTGTCTGACAACAGCTCTGTAGATTTTTTTCATTTAAAGAAAAGTTGCATCGTCTCATTCGAGGAGTCTGATGGTGTTTGAGACGTGCAGTAAAGACTTATTCAAGGTTTTCTTCAATGTAATTAAGCAATAAGGTAATACTGTTGAATTGAATTAATTGTGCAATTTCATTCAGGAAAGAGAAGATCTAGAAACTTAGCTAAAAAGATATTCCATTTAATTTAGTTCAATTTGGTTTGATTTTCACTATTCTAATAGGGTTAAAGGCACTGCCTACTGGCTTGTCACAAGACACCAGTGGAAACAATGAGATTTATAATTACTGTATGTAATCATATTTAATATGTGGTGTGCATAGAGATGTGCATGCTGGAATGTACGGTCGCACCGAGATAAGTAACAAGGCGCATTGAACTGCCTCTGCGACCGGCCCAGTACATTGCCAATTTTGGCGGTCAATAAATGTATAGATTCATGCCGATCATTCAAGCTTTTTGCTTTGAGTGCCAGTTTTTACACTTTTATGAAAATACAGAGTTTATTTTAAACTTCAAAAGTAAAGTGGGTAAGAGAAAAATTTGGCAAATTACAACACTGTCCACTATCCAGTTTAGCAAGTCGCAAACTTGGCACTGCCTTGTTCATTGTCACTATGAAAGGGGCCATGTAAACAGACAAAGTGCCCCATCTCAAACTTTTGTTGCTTCAAGGTGCATTGCTGTACAAGTAATGTTTTGTGTCTCTAGTCTCCAAAACTTCATATATCTTGCATAAATGACACGGCAGTCCTCCACAACAGTACCAACGAAACATTTAGCATGCCAGACCACTAAATTGTTTGGGACAGGGGTGCTGTGGCAGTAGCATAGTGGCAGTGGCCCTGGTGGTGCTGTAGGCTCCAAAACACATGCAGCCATGAAGTGTGCTTACCTTTTAAAGGATGCTCTTTATGCACATGAGTCCGTTTGATAAATGGGGGGAGCGAACGGCAAGCTCTGTCAAATGTGCAACTCTGCTTTGTTGGGTTACTGATAATGCAGTAGCCCAACAAAAGCTGAGATGTGGCTTCACCTTGTGAAAAGCCTTAATACTGTGCGAATGAGTCATTTGGATTGCTGCACTTAGGTCACCATTGTTCAGGTGCACCACAATTCATGATTAAAATTACTGGCTGTATACTATTAAGCATTTCCTTATTATGAGGTAGAAAGGGTTGTTGTAGAGAGCTGGCGCTGCTTTCGTGTCAACTAGTGGAATATGTCAAGCCACAGTGCATGCGTGCAGATTACATTCATGCGCAGCAAACTCCATCGCACAAACACAAATCACTGCTGTGCTCACCTGTAACTGACAACAGCTCTGTAGATTTTTTTCATTTAAGGAAAAGTTGCATCATCTCATTCGAGGAGTCTGATGGTATTTTGTTGGGTTAGTGATAATGCAGTAACCTGTTCGCAGCCTGTGTTGCATATAGTACAACTGAGTAAGCACTACAGATAGATAAGTTCTGCTAAATATGTTTCTTGGTGTTTCCTATGTTACCACTTCATAATTAGACACTCTGAGCAGTAATTTTCAATTGCCTAAATAAGACAGGATGCATATTGGTTCTCCTGTCAGGTGCGGGACACCCTGAAAGGAACAGTTGAGTGCAATGATGTTGGACAGGAGGAGGCTGAAGGTTGGACGTTGTTGTCGAGTGAGCCAAGCAGCAGCCTAGTGGAGGATATCTCTTGGGGGGACAGCCAGGAGAAGGCGAGGGAGGCCAAGAAGAAGCTTTTCAAGGCCCTGGTGCACAACCACAAGCCCATAAGTACAGCTGCCGATGGGATGGCACCACTGAGCTGATTTCATCTTCACTGTGACAACAGTGTGCGATGATGGCTGTGATCATTCGCTTTTGTCTTGATAGGAAGCACTCCTGTCTTGCTCAGAGTTGTATTCTAAGTGTACTGCGGCTTTGAACTTGCTGCTGGGCTAGTTGGTAACACCTCTCTGGGAAATACTCGGAGCACAATTTGGCACACTCCTATGATGACATTGAACATTATCTGTCGAAGTGTGTTTAGATTGATCAAGACAGAAAGTGCGTGTTTGAAGAGCTTTAGTGTTTAGGCTTGCCACATGACGGAGCGAGCAATGTGGTGTTATTGCATGGACGCTACACATTTTGAAAGAAGGTGCGAGGTGTCACATCTGCTCTTTTCAAACATGACAAACTTCACATGTGATTGTTGACAAGGGACACCAAAATCAGGTTGATGTGTGATGGTATGCTTATAACACACAAGATAGCTTAAACTGCGCATGTGCTGCCTGCAAAAAGTAAGTATTTATATTACGAAACGATTCAAAATAAATGACACTTGTAAGTCAATTAGCCATCCAAGTGGTTTTATTCTTGTGTAGCATTCTTTCCACTGGTGTGCTTATTCTGAAAGAGGTCATGACCCGCTAGCATGTGAATTTTCGCATTGTGCTGTGTGTGCCTTCTTGTTGACCTGCCCACACTTGAGTTGAAAAAATGAGGTTTTCAACATTATTCAGAAGAAGGAAACTGGGCATGGCAAATGCCTGCATATATCGCAAGGCTAGATGCACCTGCAACCCACGTCCTTTTCTTCTTCCTTAGAGACTCAAAAATATGTACGCGAGAACCATGAGGGCAGCATTAAAGAACGACGAGCACAAAAAAAAGTTAAACAAACAATGTTGCAAGATTGGTGTAACTATTCAATCATATAGTGAGTCTATGACCTTCTTCAAACGTAAGAATTTGGCACTACTTCAAGCTGACAAAGAGGGCAGTTTTGTTGCAATGCCTAGAACTCTGTGGAATGACAAAGCTTTGGTTGCACTAAATAAGTATTTCGTTCTGGTTAAGAAGAGGTTTGTCAGCTTAAAGGAGCAGTGACATCAAATTTAAAGCTTGAGATGTGGCATTCATTCAATTGCTTAATATGCATGAGTTTTTTTAGCGAAGTATGAATGGTGTCAATTAGATAGAAGTTATTTTATTTCGAATGCAAACAGCGTCCAAATGCTTAACGAAGCATTCGGCTCCATGAGACATCCACAGAATTTTGACGTGTTCAGCAAGCTTCTAGGCCACGCCTCAGATGCTGAGTGACGATGTACAAGCAAAGATGGTGGCAAAAATTTTAGTGTTGCCACCACGGTGCCTACTTGTGGTACCATCTGGCAGCGATGCTTGGCTGCCTGGCGACTGCTTTACTTGTTTTGAATTGCTTGGTCCATGCAGCACGTTCATGTGAATCCTGCATTTACGTTGTGCCACTTCGGGTGATTAGTCAAGGAGTTGTAAGCACGTTCGAAGCTACAATCATTGCTAACAAGTAATACCCACACAGCGTTCATATGTGGGATTGTAACATCTCTTGCCAGGCTGCATGGCCCAAGTGTGCGTTTCACACTGCCTCTTCATCACTGCTTAGTCAGTCGTCGATTCCAGAATCACCGCTCTGAAGAGGATCGAACACAAAATGATTAGCGAAGTCGCCAAGCACAGTGATTTCATATTGTTTTCATCGCCACTTGTGGACGCTGATGACGGTGGCGAGGACATGCCTACACGTGTGCACTGAGCAGACAAAATGTCAGCTGAAACTCGCGTCACCATTTCATGTGGCAACATGTTTAGATGGAGTGGGACAGCTGGAGGTGAGCGCTTGACAGTGCTTAAAATTGGCGAGCTTTGCACCATTTTGAATTGGGTTTGATACTGGTCATACTAATCAATATTACATAGATAATTTGTCCCTCTGTTGCATTATTAGTGCCGAATTTCGTTAGTAGGGGATCAATAACCACACATTGAGACAAAAACATGACATGCGTAAGGTTGATGTCACGCCTCCTTTGAAGTTCCAGTGCACTGACTTTTGCAATAGTCTTGCATTGAGCAAGCTAACTAAATGTATCTTGCTGCAGAATGTTTTTTGCAGCAATGTTCTTTTTTTTTGCAGCAAAATGTTTTTTGGGAGATTGTTAATCATAAAGCGGCACATATTTTGCTGCTGCATGCAATAAATAATTAATTATAGGCTTCTCATTGCGAACCATTCTCAGATTCGGTTTGAGAGAGCTCCCAGAACGACAAGCCACCTGGGTGCAACTACATCCCCAGCTAGCTTGTGCAATGCTTGACCATGTCTGCATGTGGAACTGTGATGCACTTCGGCACCGTATGAATCAAGAAGTCCATTTGGACATGAAAAGGGACAGCAGTGTTGCCAAACACAAAAGTTTCAATGTGTGCGCTGTGGCCATGGACTCGCGAGCAGTTGCGTGAGAGTACTGGGGAGCTATTTTGTTACCATTCTATCGTAGGAGCGGGAGGGATGGACTGCACGAACAGGAGGGAGCAGCATTATAACTTATATTGACTGCAGCTTGGTGACGTGCGGAAAGTGGGGCAGTCATCGTGGATCGCTTTTGAGGGAGCCATTCTCATAAGCTCATGGGAACTTCAAAATTTATATATAATACCTTCCAAGCTATGTGCTCTGCTGATATTTTGCAGGTGATATACGCATGTTTACAGGAATCGATAGCGCAGGCTGTCTCGGCTGCGAAATTCTGTATCAGTACTCACCGATCTTGGGTAGATATAAGTTATTCACCCGTGGCACATACGTGCATACCGCGGCTTGAGGTATACGGGTATATTCCATTGTGTCTGGAGGAAGAAGTTTGATGATGCACGTAACAAGATTTTCACGTTATGTCATAACAAGCCAGACATATTTTTCGAGCCCTTTTACCCCCCACCTCCTATGTTAATTTTAACTTAACCCAAAGTTAAGCAGATGATCACGACAGCATCCGGACGTGGGTGGTTAGATAGGTATTTATTGATTTATATGTGGGGTTCAACATCCCAAAACCACCATATGATTATGAGGGACACCGTAGTGGAGACCTCCAGAAATTTCAACCACTTGGAGATGTTTAACATGCACCCAAATCTGAGCACACGGTGGTTGGATAAATACAAAGGTAGAAATGCGCAAAGTTGCTGTAGTTCCAAGAAAAGCTTTGCATTTAAAATAAGGAGGAAGACAAGTATGCACATTTAGTTGCACATGTGGGTGTGAGCCAAATTTATACCACTAAGATGGTATGCAAAATGAAGAGATTGCTTTAGGGGCATTCTTTATATGGAAGAGTGATTGTGTCTGCATAAGCGAGACGCCTATATCCTTGCTTGCTTCTAAATTTCTGCAGACTCCTTTTGACAGGCACAGCTGTCCGTTGATTGCACAGTTGCGTCTGCTATACTGCAGGTTTTATCACATATTCATATCCTTATTACATTTGATTTTTTGTTTCCAACACGATATTGCACACGCACGATACCTTGAAAATGTGTATTTCAGCTCACTTAGCCTGTATTTAAGCTCACTTAGTAGTGCTAGTCTGTTGTCTACTTCACATTTTTTAGGCTCGTCGTTCTTTAGTGTGTGTTCATAGATAGCCAACTAGCTCAACTGTCTAGTCTGCTCTGCTGAAGTGTAGGCAATAGTTTTCCGAGACTGCAAGTTCATCGTATAAGAGCAAGAAAAATAGCATGTGAGGTACCAAAAGCATATTTTTCATAGAAAAGAATAAGTGCTTGTGTAAAAGTAAACTTCCAATATCTTTGTTTTCTCCATAGTTATCTTTCCTGAACTGTGACTGAACACAGCTGCAGTGCGGATAGTGGAAGCAGCACGATGCTGTTCCTGCATGTGCAAATTATAAATTCAGGAATTCATACTATGAATGAGCAGTTGTCAGACTGGCTGTGAGAGCATTGAATTTTTGTATGTGTGTGGGCATGTGTGCCTAATTACGCTCTGAGTATTTCATCGAGATTATAAGGGCGTGTTGACAACTTCATTTATGAATGCTATCTTCTTCAGACAACCTTCTTGTTAGTCGCTTCGGTCATCATGGTGATAGCTTGTTAAAGCACAAATGTGAAATAAAAACATCAATAGCTGAAAAGATCTGGCCCCAGGTCTACCTGGAGCGCTTGATTCGCTTCAAGCTTGAACAATGAACTTGTGAGATTCGAAAATGCTGCTTGGGCGTTTTCTGACCGTTTATATGTAGTGGGGCGAGCAATGGCAATCAAAGAACTTCCTGCAGGGACGGGTATTCTGCACAGGCAACATTCTCTTGCTGTCATATGAATGGTAAGGTTAGGAAGTAATGTGCAATGTGAAAAGTCTGCTCGCAATCCTAATTGCATTTCACTCGGATATGTCGAATTTGAGTGGGATAATCAAGTGCGAATATAGAAGGCAATTTTGAGTGCTTGTTACCTTGTTTAACACTACTCAATTGAAGACCCAAAGGCGATGACACCAAGAATAATATAAGAGACGTTAATTGTGTTGCTGTAATGTATGCGGCCAGGTGAAAAAAAGCAAATTTTTTCACATTATTATTTTTTTTTTGTTTTTAGTCTTAAATGTGCGATTCTTCGCCCATCGTTTTGCTGTGTAAAGTTTCTGTCCACACTATTTCTTTGAAAAGATGCATGGAAAAATGTTAGACCAGCTGTCATTTACGAAACCGAAACTGAAGGTGCTAGTTTTGTGTGCATCATAGGATTAGCCTGATATTTAGTAGTTTGTTGTCTATTTACCAATCCTCTCAAATGTAAGCAGACAAATGATACACAGAAGAGCTGTCCTAATTTACTGCAGTAACAATGTCATGGATAACTAGCTGCATAGCAATGGGGTAGCAAGTCAATTAATTATCCTTGGTAAATGCAGAAGGTTCTTTGTATGTACACAAGCTATCCTGCTCCTCGGGAGCGCACATACCTTCAATTTGGCAAACTCATCCGTACTCGGTTCAGGCCACGAGTCTTGGTGAGTATAGGTCAGTGACTTTCTGGCGACGTCGAGCGGGTCTGGTTGGGAGAAATTTTAGTGAATAGTACGAGTGAGACCTAAGCATAAGATGTATTTCTTGAGTGACTATGATTGAGCCCTATCAGAATGGTCTATTGGGCAAGTTGGTGTGTTCCCATCTTGAACGGGCACGACAAAAACAAGGAAGAGAAGAGGAAAGACCTCCTTTTCGTTGCACTAGTACCTATTTGTTCAAGGTAGAGTGAGCCCCATCTTTTATTGCCGACTTATTCACTCATCTTAAATCGACTCTGCTTGTATGGGCTTATGTTTATACTCGTGTATATTAATAAATATGTGGGATGTTGTGTCTAGCTAAGTACGAATCCCAAAATAAAAGCGTAACAGCTGCCTATTTGATTAATAGCAACACAGGGCGAGCATGCTGATGCTATGCTTGTCTGTGCACTGTTTCTATGCACTATGTCTCACAAATGGTAAAATAACCTGTTCACTCACTCTCCCAAAGTGGTACATTGTGTAACTGTGTGAAAAAGAACACAGTGTTCAGGTGCCATTTTCTGCTTTCAGGTACATTCACTTTCTGCTGCCCACAATATAGTTTTCATGATAAAGAATCTGCCTGATGGTATTTTACAGTGAAGTTGTAAATGGTTAGGTTTTTAGGCATATTGCATCCGCGGACAAAAGATGCATGGTGTAAAATCCGAGCAAGCACCCCTCCTCTCTTCCATTACAGTCAGCCTGTTTTCCCCTACAAAATCCTGTAGCAGCGGTTCCAACCTAAGTCCTAAGTGTCTTCAAATATGTGCTATAAGATTAGTACCGTTTCTGTGTCATTCTCCAGGGTTGCATTCAGAGTTGTCATAAAATAATGAAACATATGAAGGACATCTTCCCCTTTGGCATGACACATGAATTTTCTTTCTGAAGGGGATTCCTTTCAATTCACTAAAAACAGTAAATGCGTACGTATTCAATAGAATATTTTATTAGAAGCACAGGGGAGCGTTCTTCTTAGAGGCTCTTCCGTCACCATCTTGAATTCTGGTTCACAACCAAGCAGGGCGAAGGGCCGTTTTCCAAATCTTGTTCAAATGTCTTTCATTGTGAGGAGAGTGCTTGCTCGGGATATTATGGTCGAACAACAATTATCATCAAACTGATTAACTTGCTTAATTCAGCGTTTTTGTGTCGAGAAAAATTGCACCACCTCCCGCTAAAGGGACCCATGCGTGGATGCGAAGCAGTGAGGAGATAGTGAACGGCACGCACAGAATCTCGTCTAAGTCATCTAGCTGGCTAATGCTGCCGGTGACGATCGCTTGATGCTGGTGACCGTTGCCGTGAGCACTGCGGGTGACCATGACTATAGCACTGCTAAACAGTCGGTTCCTCAGTGCACACGCCAGATATCAAGTGTGATGCCGTGCTAACCAAGCAAAGCACATGTGCCTGACCCTCTAAAACCTGTAACGCCTCCAAACCGACAATCAGTGGCTGTGAAATGATCATGTGTACTGAGGAAGCGTTTCGTTGCCTTCGCCGCCGACTCGGGAGAGAGGAAAGTGTAGGAGAGCAGAGAGAGGGGGGGGTGTGAATGCCGCACTACTGAGGAAGTGTTTCGTTGCCTTCGCCGCCGACTCTAGAGAGAGAGAGGAAAAAGCGTAGAAGAGAAACTTTTGTGCAAGAGGAGTAGCCGGGGCCATGCATTGACACTAACCTCTCCTTATATACATTTAATTAAAAAAAAAGAGGAAAGGGGAATTCGCATGCGCAGTTGTGGAGTGGACGCCACGGGAAGCAGAGACTAGACAAAGCCCTTGCCATAAGATGCTTCGCATTTAATAACGGCAACACCTTTTAGAGCTTTTGTGTTTCGTGCTGAACGCACGCATGAATTAACCCACACAATGTGTGGTTGAACCCCCTCACTGAAAAAAGTTTCTGGCTACGCCCTTTACGATAAATGCTTCTGGGGCCAGCAGTGCATGAACGCCCGCGGCCGGCATCAGGGGATCTCGCTCGCTGAGCAAGCAAGCAAGCGCCGCCAGACCCGGCCATATTGGCCGTGTGTTCACCAAGCCTAGCTCATTGCTTGCACCATGGCTCACACGCAGCGCAGCAAGCATCGCATGCAACTGCACCAGCCTAGCGAAGGCAAAAAATGGCGCGATGTCCTCTCTTGGACTACCGCTCGCCGACCGGGGTCCTGTCCACGAAGTTCTCTAACCGTCTCCCAATCTTGCTTTTCTTCCTATCTCGTTATGCCCCCTCTTGTCCCTTCGTTTGTGAACCACTGCTGAGGTGTTGCACTTTGATGAACACAGTTGCGCGGTTCACTTTTCTTATCATTTCTTTTTCTTTCTAGCGCAATTAAAAAATAATAAAAAATGATACGGAGGATTTGCGCGTCACCAATGGCAACGCTTGAAAGAACCAATCACCGTAACCGGCGCGCAGTTGCTGCAGTTGTCAGACGCTCACTCGACTTGAGAGCGCTTAGGTCGTGCGCTTGACTTGGCGTCCGTCTGAAGTATTTCAGTAGTTGCTGCTGCCAGCATAGTAGCTTAATTTCCTTTCCAAGACCAATGGAGCCTTTGATCGACGACGGCGGCGTGCAGAAAAAGGTGGGTATAGCATGTGTTGCGCTTCGCTTATTCGCGCGAAGCAGTTCGCCAGTAGCGTTTCCCGCCTAGGTTGACTTAAGCGCACTTAAATGGCCTTTTAACGTATCATGACATGTTACTTTGACGATGAGGTAACTCTTATCGTCTTCTGGCTCTACGTGCAGCGTGAATAAGAGCGATTCACAAGCATTCACTCGATCAACGCCAGTTAGCGTTCTGATGGCGGGCCTCTCGAACCGGACCACGGTGTCTGGACCAACTGCGCCATGCGCCACCAGAATTCGCAAATGCCCATCGGCGATGAAAACTCGAGCGTCTGCTTCTCAAACTTGACCGACTGCTCAGGTTGGGCAAGCTTTATTTACTCGATGAACGGCAGTTGTGTACGTTGTCGACTGCATGCCCACACAGAGAGGAACGCCGATCGGCGTTCGTCAACTCGGGCGCTTGTTAGACCTATCGCACGCGATTGATTTGCTCAGTAAATGCTAATCGGCATTAGACATTGCGAACAGTGCCGGGATAGAAACCGCGTGCGTGTTGAGGCATTTGCGCGCGCGGTGCTACTGATTAAAAGTAATGACTGAAAAAAAAACACAGAAAATATAGGCATGCGCGGAAGACATGCAGCAGTCGCGACGAAAGCTGGCGTAGTGGACTTAGTTTCAAAGCGCCAACTGCTATGAGCCCCGCCGAGGTGGTCTAGTAGCTAAGGTACTCGGCTGCTGACCCACAGGTCGTGGGTTCGAATCCCAGCTGCGGCGGCTGCATTTCCGATGGAGGCGGAAATGTTGTAGGCCCGTGTGCTCAGATTTGGGTGAACGTTAAAGAACCCCAGGTGGTCGAAATTTCCGGAGTCCTCCACTACGGCGTCTCTCATAACTTTATGGTGGTTTTGGGACGTTAAACCCCACATATCAATCAATCAACTGTGCCATGAATCATCGTTTTGTGAAGTACCATAATGCCATAAATCATATTGCGAAGCACGTACGTTTCTGTTGTTGCTGGGGCTGAGCGCTAAAAGAGAGATGTGTAAGTTGAAGGCCTTCCTTTCAATTATCCGCCCCCTATTTTCACATTTCCTCTCATCCCTCCTTTTTTTTTTTATGTAGGATGAGAGTTACGTGGTGCCAGCGAAGGCAAAGACGAGTTTACGTGTCGGCTCCAGAGCCGTCGTCGTCATCTTTTGTGTGCATTTTTTTAGCGAAAGATATGGCCATAAGAGAGAGAAGGAGTAAACGAAAACTGGAAGACCAGAAAATTAAGGTTATATGTGCAAACACACCAACTAGACGGTAGTTATAGCACGAGAACAGACCGACGACTCAGAGACAAGAAGGACATGAGTGCTCGTGTCCACTGTAAATTCAACAAATTTAGCCCATTGAATTGTTGCTGGGGTTGTTACTTTTCCCCTAGAAGAGCCCAGCCCATGGAAGAGGGTGGAGGGGAAGGGGCACAGGTATTTGTAGAGGCAGTTAAGCTATCTTCAAAAAAAGCTATTTGCATTTTAAGATCACTTCCTTCTCATTTGTGAGTTTCATTAGGCCCTACTTTCTGGCAGTGTTCTCCTCACATATTGATGCACTTCAAATCATAAATATTTCTTATACTGTAGCAATCAGGGTTGTTACCTGCCCGGTTTTACATAGGCCTGGCTTGTTTTCTAGACAGTGGGTCAGTTGCCGGTATGCACCTGTTTCGGCCGTTGTGTCACGAATACTTTTGTCTGTATTCGATCTTGGTGCAGGTGATTCTTACAGGCAAAGGCCCATTGGTACCCGAAAACTGTGTTGTCATTCTACACTACAATGCTTACATCAGTGGAAATGAAAGTGAGCCATTCGACTCGACCTGGTTGCGGAACCAACCACAGCGGTGCAGGTAAGCGCAGTACCATGAGCACATCATTATGGTAATGGTAGCCTACATGTTTGTGGCAGCCACTGCCTGTCTAGGGATTAGGTGACTGCAATTATTTTGAAACAACACAAAAGACTCGAAAAGGCATAACAACACGAGTGCAACGCTCTCATTATTGAGTCTTCTTCTGTGTCTTTTGTCTTTTGTGCTGTTTCAAAATGAGCCCAAACAACTAGCCCAACTCACCCTTATGACTGCGATATATCACCCATTTATAGTGCACTTAAATGGTGTCATAGCAGGAAAGTAAAGCAGCAAATTGGGCTAGTTGGAACATACTCATTACGATCAGTGCGCAAAAAGGACAAAAAACACAGAAAAGTGCACAACTGCAGTGTAGCGACTTACAGACTGCGCACGTGTCAGCAGTTTTTTTTAAATGAAAAAACAATGTAGGGGGCTTTTGTGATAAGTGACAGTGCGTGAAGGTTCAAAGTGCACGCCATTACAAGAGTTGGAAGCAGACAACGAAGGTGTCACAAGCGCTGGGCTAGAAACAAACAAAAAAAGAAACCAATAAGAATAGGCTACGATGGTGGTGCCTACCTCTTCAAGTAGCCACCTTGTCCATTGTGCAGACGGGATTCAGCTCAAGACATAGCAACAAACTTCGATGAGACCAGCCTTGTGTCTTGTGTCCATGCTAAGGTGAGGGACTGTTAGGTTAGGACTTCGGTAGCGCAAGGAGACAGTGAAGGATTGTTTTCATAGTCTGTCTATGTTATGTGTGCTAGTTTTTTTTCGTGTGTGTATAACGTGTGATGGAAATGGATGGTTCGAAGATGGAAATAATAGCCTTCATAGATGCTTGGCTAAAAGAGTTCTCTTGTGTCTGGTGGTGTCACATGCCATGCTCTCTTTCTTTCTACCACAGTCTTGACGAGCTGACGATTCCCGGTCTGGCAATGGCAGTACGGAGCATGCGTCGAGGGGAAGAATGTCGTGTGGTAGTGTCGCCCAAATACGGGTTCGGGGACATGGGTTGCCAGCCTCGCATCCCACCACGTGCCACTCTGGTCTACGAGTTAACACTGCTTAATTTCATTGAGGTTGAGTATGATGGTGACATGGACTATTTGGAGCATGAAGACTACAGGCAGCTTTCCTTTGATATTGTGTATGAGGTAAGGTCATTGCCATGCACCACACCATGTGCGTAGCATGCTTGTTCACTTATTGGGCAATCATGATTTTTCTAGAAAGAGATGGGAAGGAACTCAAGAAAATTATGCAGATGTGCTTCACTTGTAATCAAAATAAAAAGTGCTGAAATACATATATTTTCTTAATCAAGCATAATGTAAAGTTATATTAAAATCCGTGTGCCTTTTGAGGATGAGTTTAATAAGCTTCAATTTAATATACTCTTTTTTTTCAGCTATTCAATTCACTGGCCCTTGTGTGAGAGGGTTCTAGTGCATTCACTTCTGCAGGCTTGCAAGTGCGAGCCTACAAAAGTGGATATATCAGAGCTGCTAGCACTCCTCTACACCCACACAGAAGTGGTTTCACAATCCTTTCTATTTTCTTCTACAGTATTTTCTTGTGTATAAAACGCATCCTCACTTTTCATGACCTTCGTGGGAAAAATAATTTTAGATGTACCTCTGTATAAGACGCATCTATTTTTAACTCAATCAACATAATAAAACACACTGACAAACGTAGAGTGCAAAATACAGTCATGCACAGCACTGCATACCTGTAAGCACTAGTACATGTCTGTGGTGTCGATTGTTTTGGAACGGTAGGGCTTGTATGGTTGCTTTTTAAAGCTTATCTCTGAAAAAGTCATGTTCGAAGTTCCAATGGGCCCGCCTTTATGCTTTAAGTAAATATGAACAAGCAACCTTCATTTTGAGGCAAGGAGTATAAATTTAAGGGCTCGAGTTTCTTTGTTTGATACAATATTACCGAGAATATGTGTGCCCTGTCACTTGCTAGCTTGCTGGTTAGCTCATTCGGGAGAGCGAACGCCCTGGAAAGGCGTTGATCCAGGGTTCGTATCCCAGATAAGGATGAATTTCTCTGCAACCAAGGAGCTTTTCTTTCTGAGAAATCCATACGAATTTTCTTGTGACAACGAGCTACAAACAAGTGGTTGCCTTCTTTCCCTTTCATAGCATATGTGCCTGTATTTTAAACTGGCAGCTGACCAATAATCTCCCGCGTACTACCTGAAGGCATCAAGTCTGCCCTCGCTATGAATGAGGAAAAAAGCGTCAGTTTAAAGGCTTGTTTTTTTTTTTTTTGGTAGACACAATATTAATGAGAACTAGCTACAAAGATGCCAAGGAAAGTGTAGGCGTCATTGATAGAAAGTGATCTAAATATGAAAAAAAAAGAAAAGTGTACCAAAACATCACTTGCTGCTTACAGGGGTCACACTTGCAACCTTTGAGAAATGCACATGACACTCTACCACCTTCACCTCGTTCTAAATGAGATGGATATGCATGACAAACTAATAATAGCTGAACAGTCAATCAAGTGAAGACTTTTTTGAGAGGCAGCCTGTTTGCTCCTTTTGAGTGCAGATGTGCCGCCGCAAGCACCGAAACGGGAACCGCTTCTACGAGGCTGCTGACTATGCAACTGCAGCTCGCTGCTATGCAGAGGCCGCTAAAGCTCTGGAGTGGACGCAGACGACTATGACCTGCAAGGATGAGCTGCTGGCCAAGCTGTATGCCAACCAGGCACAGTGCGCCCTGCGCATGCGCAACGCAAAACTGGTATGTTTCTTATCTCAAGCTGGAAAGTTTTGCAGAAACAAAAGCAGAGCAGAAACAGTGCTCCTCCTGTTTCCATCCTTCGCTGTCTTGTGCCTGGTGATGGCTGTGCCAAATTGCACCAAAAGGTGAAACCTTCCGTATCCCGCTATATCTTTGCAAAAAATCTTATAAATTGGCACCAACAGCATTCTTGCATTAAAAAAAAGAGGAGGAAGAACACTGGACATGCCTGCAATTTGCATAAACGTTGCTAATTTTCTGTTGATCATTGGAGCATACTGGCGAGTACTAGGTAGTTAAACAGACTACGTCCAGCTTGCTACAATACTTACGGACAGGGGAACAAGAGTGTCGGAGAGAGAAAGAAATCATCAATGCACGCATTTCAGAACACACTTGAAAGGTGGCTATGCAAACACGGTTGCCAGAGGAGAGCTGAACACAGCTCAAGTGCCGACAGTCAACCAGAAAAGCACGTTGAGGCAGAAGAGAAAGTAGACACAAAACATGTGTATAGGTAAAGGGTGCCACCTGTCAATCTGGCATGCATATGTCAGTGGTGATGTGCAGGTTGCACTAAAGAAACACTAACAGCAATTTTTCAAGTTGGATTTACTTTCATATTCAAATGTGCTGTATGCAGAAACAGCGCTGCAAGTGTGAAGCTCGGGAAGTGTCGATCAGATATTTTATCTTGATATTAAAGTCACTTGTTGTATAGGGTACCTACTATAACCGATGTTGGCACGACATCAGGCACATCTGTCTAATTATGGTGACTCCATGCAGCAGTGTGGCTAGCTGGGATGGCGTAAAGTACAAAAACATGCAGAATGGCTGTTTGTGCTTTACCGATGGGGCCACAAAGTGAACCAGCCGTGTAAACTCAACAAAATCTTGTGTGAGCATCTGTCTAGAAGCTCGCATGTCAGGGCACAGTAGGAAGCTATAGCGGCTATTAAAAATATGTTGCAATTAAATTTCAAAGGTGCGCTTGTACGTACCATGTACAGTGAAAACTTGATACAATGCACACTCATCTAGCAAATTATTGGCTACAGTGAACTGAATATGCACTTGAGTTGGCCACACTTCACTTGAATAGACATTTAATCTTTTTTTAACAAAGCCAAAAATGAGAGGGTGACTGTTATATTAGGTGTAATGAAGAAATAATTGGCTCATGCAAAGCTCAACATTTGAGATGTCGCATAAAAAGCAGAACGAAATTTTTTTTTATCCTTTGAAAAAGTTCAACTGGATTATTCAGAGAAAAAATTAATTAGTTCCGTGTAAAAAAAAAAAAAAAACAAGTGAATTTGACTGTGCCATCATATGAACTGATGTATCAAATGTCACAAGGAGATGAGTAAGGCTGGCCTCATTTATAGTTGATTTATGAAGCCTAGAATGATATGTTTTTGCATCGAGGAGCCTCGCACGATTGAGATTGTCAGTTTATTGATGCTGAGTTTTTATCTCTGCCATTACAAAGAATATCTGATACAACAAACTAATTTATGGTCCCAATGCTGTGTTGTAATGAAGTTTGACTGTGCCAGATTTCATAGAATCCTGAGAGGTCGGCCTTTCCCTTGATGAAAACAACTGAAAACTTTCGCTTCGTTACCCGTGCTCAGACAAGCTTCTGTGTTTACTTTCCTGCTGTTCACAAGTGCACCTTTTCATTCAACAGTTGGCATTTGTATTGTACTGAGTTGTTGTGTCTGTGTTAGCACACCTACTTTTCTTTTGTGACGAATCCTGTGCAGCTAGCTCAACTTTGTTGGGTCATTGTAAAGCTGTGCAGATGTCCTTGTTAGCATGCATAAAACTTGCATTTACGAGAAGCGTGATAAACTGTAGCACAAAGGAACAGGGACAGTGCAAAAGCACAGGACTAGCACTAGCTTCTAATGCACGCATCCAACTGCAGTTTATTTTTGATAATGCAAAATACCATAATAAAGTGTAGTTATCTTTGCACTATGTCTTTCAAGTGATGAACCAGCTGGTTGTGTGCCATCACGCAGGCAGTGGCCTGTGCACGCAGAGCCCTGCAGCGGAACCCCAACTATGCCAAGGCACTTTACCGGTGTGCAGTGGGGCTGCGCATACTCGGCGAGTTTGAGGAGGCAGCCGAGCTGCAGCGGCGAGCCTACGCGCTGGCCCCCGACTCGTCGGCCATTGGCCGTGAGCTCTGTGTTCTCAACAAAAGCCTCTTCAACCGAAACCAGGAGATCAGTCAGCTCTGTCGGTACGTTCAACACGAGCCTGTGATTTCTGTTCACTTGAATGCCCTGTCTTGCGATGTATGTTAATTGGTATCATCATACAGACACAGTGAAAAAGCAGTATAAATTGCATATCTAGGTGTCAACATTTCGCTGAGCTAGATTATTTGAAGAATCATGCATTGGCACCCACCTGTAGAAATGAAAAAAAAAAAAAACGTATATGGTAAAAGCTCGATGATTCGGACACACTTAATATGAACTTACTGCTGATTTGAATGTTCGTCCTGGCCCCGACACAGCCCTGTGTATTTCTCTGGGGGGAAACTCCCTATAATTCTTACACCTCTGCATCTGCAACGGTTAATTCAAACTGGGCTGCCCTAGTTTTCATTGCTCCTCGCAGAAGTCATCCCAGAGTGATCACAATATTATTGTGTTCATTATTGTTCAAGGCTCGAGCGTTGCCACACTCCTCCTGCTGTGGCCCCGTAGGCGCGCCGCGTCTGCGCTTTTGGCGCCGGGAGTTGTGTTACACGATTTTGGCCGACGATAATAGGGCATAAGTGGTGCTTATCCTTAAATGCGCCTCAGACTGGAAGTGAAGAGCTTGACGTTTGTGAGCTGTAATTGTGGCTTCAGACTGTCTGCTGTTACTTCCACGTAACAATGCGTTGCAAAACCAGACCAAATTTACCAGAGGTGCAAATCAACGAAACAGTGGCGTTTCTCAGCAGATGAGAATTCGGCCGATGCACTGTATCCCTTGGGCAGGCTGCAAACTGTGTTCATGGATTGGCAAGAGAAGAAGCTCAAGCAAATGCAAGAAACTGATTTGGACATTAAGGCATACTGTTCATATGAAGGCATGTCAGTACTTGTTTCTGGTGTATCACTGATTGATCATTTAATTCTGTTTGCTGTTAGAGTTTAATAAATCTGATGTACGAAACCTCCTGCATTAAACATATAGTGGCACCTAATTCGGAATGACAAGTTCGGAGGTGGTTTCTGTGAGTTCCGCCTGTATGTGTGGTGCTACGTCTCTTCACTTTAACATTTTTATAGTCGTCTTCGGTTTTGAACTTGCGTGTCTCTGTATATAGCTGGCAATTATCCATTTGGCATAATCATGTCAACATGGTGTTCCTAGATTACTATAAAAAGCTTTGATTGTATTCCTTATCAAAGGCTTCTAATTAAACCAACACACTTGAAGAATTGCCCTAATAAACAACAATACACCAGCGCTAATGTCTCTAACTGTTCTTGTGATTCTGTAGCTTCTGAAGTATCCCAGGGCACTGTACAGGGTCCTTGACTTTTTCTTAATGATGTGGCTAAATGTGTATAATCTAAAATTAGACAATTCATGCCTGATGAGGGGGTCATAAATTGGAATATTATTGTTGACGTTGGCCACCTTTTTTCTTGATGATGACCTTGATGCAGTCACTGCTTGTGTCTCTGAATGCACTTGTAACAAATTAAATGTCGTTCATGAATGTCAATCAACAACAATTACACTCGACTTCCCACAGCCTATTTGCTCAAATATCGTTGCCTTGAACTTGCAGCACAAGTACCTTGGTGTACAATCTTTATTTTAATTTAGTTGGATAATGCTCCACTATCCCTTTAGCTTTCCCATAGCACGAACATTTTTTTTTCTTTGCCGAGTCTGGCTTTGTAACTATTTGTTGTAAGGCAACTGATCCCCCTTTTTAAAAAGCAAAAATGTCTCCCCTCTAATTTCACCTTTGCCTTTCCGGTAGTTGCTCCAAATAGGCTTTTGTCCCAGTTTCTGCTATTCATTAAGTCTTCTTTGCCTCGCCGACTTTCCGCTCGCCATATACTATACTTACTAGTGAGTTTTTTAGCTTTTTTTCTCCACTGTACGTCAACGCTCTTCCTATCATATGTGGAGAGATTTTGGGAAACATCGATACTTATCTCTATAAGTACTGAAATCTGGACACTGATTCTGAGATATCAAGTTCTTGTCCAACAGCTAGGCCTGTAGCCAGGGGGGCGGGGACGGGCTGTTTCTTCGTAGAATTCAGATGGAGGTGTGAGTTTTACCGAGGTCATCAATTAAAAAAATAGGTGGTTTTCAATACCTTCATCAGGTGCCCCCCCCCCAAAAAAAAAATATATTCCTGGCTACAGGCCTGTTACACAGCTATGTTTAAACACATGGTCACTCATTGTGCACTTCACATGTTTAGTGCTTAGTGTTATTCTACTATTCTTCCAGGCAATATTACGTGATTCAAGGAAACTTCACCTACTACATAACATTCTTCTAGCATTTTCTATAGATACCGGGCGGCCGTCGTACGGCGCCAGCTGCTCTCCTCCTGAAAAGCGCCGCGAGTGGTGGCAAGAACAGCGCTGGCATGTGAAGCAGACGGCGCGGAGAAGGCTCTGCTACTTTCCGCATCGTATTCGTACAGTAGCAGCAGCTTTTCGTTTTCAACAATCGCCCAAGGCAAAGAAAAGACGCAGCAACAGCATTTTTTTTAACATTGTACGAAGTGTACCACTGTCGAACATGTGTTCAAATAATGGTGCCTGTCGGGCTTTTGGGAGCTCAGTTGTTTGTGGTTGGGACAACGTTCAGTGGTCGCCAAGTCATCTAGATAGAATGACACGTGTCCCATTCAGGTCTTCGCACCGAGGAGCACTGTTGGAACATCGACTCAGGCTTTTGGGCATGGTGCTGTGCTTTTAGGCACTTGTTTACATTCGGAGGCGGATCAGAAGGGGCACGATGCCTCGTCCCTTTTGTGACTGCAAATAAGATGGGCCTGATTGGCAAAATACTGTAAAATAAACAAATTTGCTTTTTAAATGCCAACATTGCTGTTCTAGGCTGCTCGAGAGTCCTGACAGCTCGAATGCACCCGTGACTATATCAGTTATATTTAGCTGCGGCTTTCAAGGCTTGACCAGTGGGTACACAGATATTTTAGTGTCTACTCCATGAAAGGGTTGCTACTTGCATGAAGCAGGCCACATGGGTGAAGTCAGGGAATATAAAGGGGACAACGATAGTCAATTGCTTTGCAAGTGCGTGCCGCAGATGAGGCTCAACGAGACAAGCTGGGATGTGATATAGCACCATTTCTATTTCTGTTGAAGACGTGAAGCACTTTTTAGTGAACGAAAGACACTTGGAGTGTTTCTATTTATCCATCCATCTGTCCGTCCGTCCGTCCGTCCGATCGATCGATCGATCGATTGAAGTCAATATAAGCGATCTTGTCGCCCCCTCAAGCTAATTAGTATTAACCAATGCATAGGTGGTTACGAGAATGTGACAAACATGACTATCTGGTTGTGACATTACTGCCCGAAAATCTTGGCAAGAACGTCACGAAGCCACGTGTGGCATATACACGGCCGCGGGATGCGTATATGAACCACAGGTGATTCACAGTTTTTAGGTACCCAGAAGTGGCATCAGACATTGGTAGCTTGAATGGGTGCGCTTCAAGAAAAATGCGTGGTCAGCCGTGATGACCTGAGGTAGAAATAAAAAGCATAGAAAGCATAGAAATCAGGATACCAGAAAGAACTGCATCCAGGCATTTTTAGTGGCAATCAGTCAGTTCTACAAAAGAGCCAAGTCAGGTGTTGAAACCTCTTTTAAAAAGACCATATAGCACATGGTATGTGCAAGAAAATGTCGGTGTAACTAGCGTCAGAAAGTGGTTGCAGTCTGGTTTTCCTAATTGTATTACAAGGTAATTAACATTACCTATGTACATCTAATGCTGTGATACAGATGTCATGTCGGCTTAATGCCAATTTCAGTTGCAGTATGTTTTGGCTGTGCTTTATAACCATCGGGTTAACATTACATATGTGCTTTGATGACTTCGAAAGCTATTATCAGGCATTGGTTGACCCCGGAGCAACCCTCTGTTGAATGTAGCAGCTATGTTCGATGTTCACAGCATCACACACTGAAATATGACTTGCATCGTAGCGTGCACTTCGTTTCAATAAAAATGACATCTCTTCCTGACAATATGCCAGACCATATCAGTTAACCTTGAAACAACAATCTAATAGCATGGCTGGCAAGCCCACTATATCCACTCAACTATTTCATTTACAAAAACATGTTGATGCACTTCGTTACACTTGACTCAAAGCTAAAAAAAAAATGCAGAATGGACTCGCTGCCTGCTTCGCATAAGATCGATCTGCAATGCGTGGGATCGGATGAATCCTTCCTAACACTTTGCCATTCTGTCTACACATTAACACTGCCTCGTAATATTGACAAAAGAGAGCGTACATCTCCCATTCTTTTCTCGTCTTTCTTTACTCTATGCTTTGCCGATTGCAGTTGTTCCTCCGTTGTAGTTCTTGCATGCCCACTCCGGTATTCTTTTCTTTTTTTTCATTGCTTTGCCGACTTTAATATTATAAGACAATGTATACCTTTCACTCTTTGTACACTTCTCGTGGATTTCGGCAGCTCACTGAAATTGAAGTAACATACAACGCCGCACCCCTGCAGCAAGCGAACGCACCCGTTTTGCGACCTACATGCCATTAGTAGTTCGCCGTTACCACCGACAGAGGCGCCGCCAGTCCAAACTCGTCCCCGCACCCAGTGCCTATATGAAGCAGTTTCAAGCTCTGGCGTACCTTCGTGTGGTAGAACATCTGCTTGCCTGCCACGCAGGAGGCTCGAGTTCGATTATCACCCAGAGTGAACCTTTTGTCTGTCGTTTAGTATTTGCATCTGTCTCGAATTTCAGCTTGTGAACAATGCATATTTGTCTCTTACAACCAGTAGATGCCCGCATCAAACCAAAACTTCGGCAAAGCGAGCTCTGTAACACTATCGTGTCAAATTGCCATTTATTAGTTCGTCTTTTTCACATACAGGTGGCAACCACAATCAATGCACCTATGCATTTGTAGTCTATGGCATGTCCGAATTTTGATACCAGGCGCCTTGTGTGAATGAATAGCTCTGTTAGATATGCATGCATACATTCCAATGTGTATCGCAGTGTGTAATGACGTTGTTGACTTGCATTCTTGAGTAGCAACATGATGCGTGCACTGGGGACCGATGGCAGTGCCAGCGAGGAGCGCCAGGTGAGCAGGATGCGTCAGCGCTTGGCCATCGAGCGGTCTCTGGAGCCAGTTCCTCGTATCCTGATCCGCAAGGCGATCGAGGCACTGGCTGTTGCACCGTCGGGCACTGAGTTGCCGTTTGTTGAAAGGCTTCAGCCCGGAGGAGCTGGAATATGTGGAGATACTGTGTCGCCAGTTTGGTCTCCCGTGTTATGAATTCGAAGATGGACTCAAGGCATTTGCACCTTGAAGTAGTGCTCGTACTTGTTGAAAGCGTTATATATAATGTCAGTGGAAATACTGAGTGAATAAAAAGACGAATTCACTTTAATGTTATCTGCTTCAGCCCTGTTAGGGTACAACAGATGTGACAAAAAACGTGAATTAGAACCTCAAATGAGTTGTGTGTGAGAATCTACTTTTTCTGCAAAGTAGTTTAACCCTGGTTCATCGTTTCCAGCTGACGTATGGCGACTGGATTAGACAATCAAAAAAAAAAAAGAAATGTAATGGTCGAGTCGTGATGCAGCAAAATGCGAAAGCAGAGGATTGGTGTTATGCTGATCAAACCTATTGCATATTTTGCCCAGCACCCCGGAGTAACTACTACAAACTTGTTCATTGATGAGGGTTGGTTAATTAGTATTGCTTTAACCTGAGAACTACTCAGTAATCATATGTCACATGTAGGCATGTTTGAATGACCTCTAACTGCTATTTTCGGAAATGAACAAATTGTGTGCTTATTTTTTTCCAACTGGTAAAGAAAGCCCGCAATATGTGACAAGTACCACATGACTACGTTCCCACTTGCAATTCTGTCGCTTGCTTTCCACTTCCACACTTTGGCAATGGTACAGGACAAGTGCCAGCAACATGCGTTGCAAGTTAACAAGCATTCTTTCCAAAGGAGTTCTACAATATCGTACTAGAGGGAAATCTGTTGCTTGCGTTTGTGGAAGCTGCAACTCGAGAAGGTTCAGCCAGCATGGGAAAGATAAGAGAGTAAAGAGATCTGCCGAAGCTTCAATCATTTAAGCTCCATTTGGCTTTTTCAGTTTCGAACCGGTGATTAGTAATTACAGTATAAATAATTATTTTTGTTGTAATTATTACGATGTGTACAGTTATTCATTGCATTTGCAGCTTAAAAAAAAATGGTCACCTAGAAGTTCACTGTTATTTTTAGGCTCGTTAGAAATAGTCTGTGCACATTTGACCTTGAATGTACTAGTCAGGTCAGATGTCCTACTATGCAGCGTTTTAGCTTTAGTTCAATTATGTTTTCATTTTTCGGTAGCTTTGGTAAGAGACTATCGGTAAAAAGTATTCTGTTTTATGTTGAAAAAGTGCATATGTTGTGCACTGCTAAGGCTCGCACAAAGTTGAGCCTAATGATCAAATAATCAGGACGATGTGTGAATTGCTGACATCTTTCTCGTTGACCCAGTCTTTTTTGCTGTACTCTTCCTTTTGTTATATTATGCTATAAAAATAAAACTTGCTTAGTGACGAGCGTCTCAAGCTGTGGCTTTGGTCTATTGTTGAGTATTGAAATAAAGCAAATGCAACAATAGCCTGTCTCTGGTGTGCCAATGCACAAGAAAAAATTGTGCCTAGCTCACACCAGTGGCAGTAGGCTGTAACCATTAGCGGAGATTCTGTTGGACATAGCTAAGCTATGCTAGTAATGCCACGCTTTTGCTAGAGATCATAAGTGTCTGCTAGTTTAACTATAGTGTACTACAACGCCTGTGTAGTGGCAAAAGCGTTGCGCTTCTTGTGAGGTGCGTAAGGCTGCTGCCACTGGCATTGCAGTGGCTACCGCGAGATGTTGCTGTGGATATGTCTGCGATGAAACCGGTACAGCTACAGAACAACGCCACAGGCTTTTTATTTTGTTGTGAGCATACTGAACTGCATCAATAATTTACCGGACAGTACAGGTCCACTTTCAACTTGATGGCGAAATTCGCACATGCATTTCTGTAATTACTTGCAAAAAAAAAAGCATTTACAATTATGCACTTTACTTGTAAGGAAGAAAATAGTACTAATGAAAGGGCGTGTTGTCACAAACAGTGAGAAAGTTTGTGGTGATAGGACGCATGAAATCCTTTGAGGTGATAGCGTCAAAAAACTCGTTTTGCCTAAATTGCGGTGTTGGCATCTTTGGCTGTAAGCGGAAATTCTTGGTAGGTGAAAATAACAATAGAAGCCAGAGGGTGTTTTGTAAAATACGAAGCCCATTAATTATGTAAACAAATCAAAGAAAATGTCGAACCGAGATTGCTTTCTAGAAAGCACAAGTAATTATCACTAATGCAGTACACCAGGCACGCTGCCTACTTCCTGATGTACTGCATTAAAAAGCCATGAGGATGTAAAAAATAATTTAACGCACATATATATGCAAAGCCAAATTTTACGTAAGCACCTAATTCTAACACAGTGTCAAGACAACCGCAGTAATGGATATGCTAATGCAGAAATGGTATATATGGACCCCCCCTCCTTACTATAGCTTCCTCACATTGGCGAGACAACCTCACTTTCTTTGCCTGATTTAGACTGAAGAACACCGTGACTTTCTCTTGGGTCTTAGCAACTTCACTTTCTTTGCTGATTCAGACTGAAAGAACACCGTAACTTTCTCTTGGGCGTTAGCTTCACAACTGCTTTTGGACGGTATGTAGATAGGTCTGGTAACAGCACTGGCGCTGCACAGAGTTTCATACAATATGAAGCTCTTGGACACCGCACCTGCAGCATGAGCTGGGCAATTTCCCTGTGGATTTTCACTTCCGTACCGCTTATTCTATGTGCGTAATTGTGAATAAGAAGATGTTCGGCAAAGTGATTTTTGAACACCGCAGATATCTCGGCTAGAGGTTTGTCCTTCCTTCCTAGGCTCACCCCTTTTGAACAGTCGGATCTACCCTCCTCCGAGTCTCTCTCTTACGCACTTCCAACAAATCCTATAGGAGAAGTCTCCAGACTAGCACTCTTCTTTCTTCCCCTCAGCTGCTGTCCCACTAGTGTGCATGTCCCAATTCCTACTGTGGCATTTACCTCACGCCACCCTTTCCCATATCCTATTTGGCTGCCCTGCTGATCCTCCCCCAGAGGGACAGCCTGTCATCTAAAGCTGGGAGAACTGGGAGGTCCTCCTATCGTCTGGGGACCGGCGTTGCAGCTTGCTGCGGTGACTAGGGCAGCCGATGTCATTGCGGCGACAGGCATGACGGTGTAGGCGGGGTGTGGGACCGCGCGGTGGTCCAGGGACCCCGGAAGGCCCTAAGACGCTTGCTAATTAAAGCTTTTCTGTCTGTCTTTTCCCAACCCTTTTAGTGGTCTTCCGCATTTGGCACTGGAAAGAACAAAATCAGTTGTCCGTTTCCTACGCGAAGGCTGGCCCAGGTAGCCTGCTGTCGGACTTCATCGTATCTTTATCACAACTCAGCGCCCCAAAAAATGGCAAGAGAAAATCGATCGCTATGCAAAAATGCGTCTACTCACAATATAGTGAGACGCGTACCCAAAGTTTCTCTTTTTTTATGAGGGGGGGGGGGGTGGGCTGGGTAACTCTACTTTATGTACATAAGTTCGTGCTGCGTGTGTTTATTCGTATGCGTGCTTATGTGTATTTTACGTACGCAAGCAATAAATTCAGTGTGTGTGTGTGTGGGGGGGGGGGGTTTAACCACCCTTAGGCTGCGGCCCTGACAACGGTCACTTGTGGGTTGAGTTGCGCCGATCATTTTTAAGTGCGAGAGAGAGAGAAAACATTTATTGAAAGAAGCTTGTGAGTGAAGGTGGGAGGGTCCCTTATTCCAGGAACCCTCTGGCTTGGACAGCCCGCCGCGCTCGAGCGACGAGTTGACGCTGCTCGACCAGGTCCGGCTGGGAGATCATAGCCTCCCACGCTTCACTGAGGAGGTCTTGGTCCGCATCTGGTGCTGCTGCTCGTAGTCTTGGGACGCTTACTTTGCACTGCAGTAGGAGGTGCGCCAGAGTATCTGCCACATTGCAGTGAGGGCAGATGTAGCTGTGCAACGTTGGCCTCATATGGCGCAATAGTACGCCGTGGGTGAACGTGTTGCTTTGAAGACGCCTATAGTCAGTCCCTTCGTCTCTTGTGAGTTTTGGATGTGGCGGAGGGTATAACCTGCGTTCGAGCCGATAATGTTGCAGTAATTCAGGGTGCGTTAGTGGTATGGCTTCTCTTGTCTCTGATTCTGTTGTTGAGTGGGAGGTGCCTCGGATCTTGTATGGGAATGCCCGGTTGACGCATTCGCGGGCTGCGGTGTGTGCCGCTTCATTTCCCTCGAGACCTTCATGACCCGGAATCCACACGATGCATGTGTAGGGAGGAGGATTGTCCATGCGCTTTAGTAGCCTAATCGCCACCGTGGAGACCCTGCCTTTCAGGTAGTTCCGTGCCGCTGTTTGTGAGTCGGTAAAGACCACGATGGGATCCTCACTCGTCTGGGTGGCGAGTGCTATAGCAGCCTCTTCAGCTGTTTCCGCACGTTTGGCGAGGATAGTCGCCGATGCCAGTACCGCGCCCTTGTAATCTACGACGGTAATCGCGAAGGCATTACGTCTCGGATATTTGGCTGCGTCCACGTATCGCGCCTGCGGGTCATTGCCATGTTTTTTCCGGATCATGTTAACCCTGGCGAGCCGCCTTTCTCGGTGATGTTGAGGATGCATGTTCCGAGGGATCTGCTGAATTTCAAGGCTTTCTCGCAGCTGTGACGGTATTTTGCCTTTGCGTTCTTCGTTGGGTTCTAGAGTGGTCTGGTATCCTGTGCGTCGAAGCACGGCTTGCCCTGTGAGTGACAGCTTGAGTCTCTCGACCTGGTTGATGAGGTGTGCTTCGGTGAGTTCTTCCCACGTATTATGAACTCCCATGCGAAGCAGTCGGTCAGTGGAGGCGGCTGGCGGCAGTCCTAGGGCAAGCTTTGTAGCCTTTCGTATCAGCAGAGCGCCGCCCCTGCAATACAAGTAACTCTAAGGAATGTAGCGCTAATCGCGCTGCGCTGACAGTGCAACGCAATGCTCAAAAAGGGGTTTCCAACGCTTTGCTACGACGTCACGGGGGTGGCATCTGCCCGTCGCTTTGAGTTCTACACCTTATCACCTCCGAGACTGGCGCGCATCTTTCTCCGTGGGCTGCGCGCCTTCGTTTTCGAAGATAACTGCCAGATGGCACTTGTGTCTAACGGGCCTAGATGCGCTCGTTCGCCTCCGCCACACGCTCGAGGCACTCTAACGCAGCGCCTGCAGAATACCATTAACCGATTTTCTTGCGCAGAACATCAAATAAACGTTTTGTTCACTCTCTCCAGACGCAAGACTATCGTCTTTCGACGACATTTACAGTGTAACATGTAGATGCTGGCCAATTTTTTTTTTCGGGCTAGGCAGCGCCACATCAACAGCTTTTTTTGTTATCACAGCGGCCCCCATATATATATATATATATATATATATATATATATATATATATATATATATATATATATATATATATATATATATATATATATATATATATATATATATATATATATATATGACGCTATGATGAATGGGTGACATGGCCTGGCTCATACCCCATGTTTATTCTACTCTGACTTCTTCCTCAGCCTCTACCTTCAGTCAATACCTATTTACGTTACACACACACACACACACACACACACACATATATATATATATATATATATATATATATATATATATATATATATATATATATATATATATATATATATATATATGTGTGTGACGTATGAAGCGATTGTTGGTAGAAGCTGATGAAGAAGAAGGAGAGTAGAATAAACATGGAGTGTGAGCCAGGCCACATCTCCCAGTCATCATAGCGTCACACAAGTCGGCAGGATGAAGACCTCGCAACCACTTCATCACCCGGCCATCATCATCGAAGACCTCAGCGAGACGTAGTGACCGAACGTGGACCACCAAGACCACCAAGCATCATGACAGCAGCATCAGACGACCTTGACATCCCTAAGTACACCGGAGCAGCGGACGATGGACCTGTACAGGACTGGTTCGACCTGTTCGAGTTCCACGCTACCGCTGCATCTTGGTCGGAACGGGAGATGGTTACGAACTTCAGCGACTACGTCACCGGTGAGGCATTTAAATTTTACCTCACCCACATATTCAACAACGACGAGTCTTGGCAAAAGATAAAAGAAGAAATGATCGTCTGGTTTCAAGACTCTAATGAAGATTCGATTAGAACACACACTCTCAGTGCATTCGAACTCAATCATCGCAGCCATAAGCAGCCTGCACGCATTCGAGCACCGAGCATGAATTTACAATTCCCGTCAGGTGAAGTTACCCACATGCTCATGGAAAGACCACGCTGTCGTTTTCCCAGCCATCCACCTGGTTTCTCATCCGCGGATATATCACCAATGCTCCACTCACCGCTGCATAAAAGAATCGAATCCGCTATTAATGACCGAGATGCATTTAATACTTCATG